TCCACCCAACTGCCCACCTTGGGTTGGTTGCGTGCAGCGTTGCCAGATGGAGCGCCGAAAGCTGGAGATTCCGCCGCGCCAGGTGGTAGCGTTGCCGTTGCTGCTTTGCCAGGAATTGGCGCTTTGCCAGTTGACTGGTGCTTTGGTTTTGTTGGGGTCCCCGATGTCCTGGACCCTGGTTGCTGAAGCCTGATGAATTTTTCAGTGCATTCGCGGGAGCTGGTGAGGTGCGGACCCCCGCAAACTATGCACGTTGGGTTGCATTCGTGGGGGGCCATCCCCTCAGGACCAGCGCCCACGTTTTGGCCACAAAGGCTGCATCTTTCGGTGACCGGGTTGGGACAGATATCCGCCCGGTGCCCCAGTGCACCACAGCGGTAGCACGCTGGCACTGTCTTCTTGTACTCCCTGACGGGAGTCAGTTCTGCGTTATAGTGGACGAAACGCGGAACCTTCCTTCCCGCGAAAGTCAACACAGCTACGTTGGAGTTCCCCAGCTTGCGCGCATAGACTAGTTCACCGCCACGCCACTGCACACTATGTTTCAGAGACGCACTGGTTTCGAGGTTGTGCACAGAAATCACGCCGCGACACACATCACCGGTGAGCTTGAGGTGACCGCGAAGCGGCAGCGGTCCTTTGCTGGTGTTGATTTGAAAGTCCGACAGCAGTTTCTGAACCACCTCGTTATTCTGCGTGCCACAGATGATGATGTTTTGCTCCCAATTGGGAGAAATGCTGATGTCATTCATGTGCTGCCTTCCGATGAGTTGGGAAATGGCAGCGCCGAGCTCACCTTGTTGAAACGCTGCCTTGAGGGCTACTGTGATGCGTGGCTTGAGCACGATCACGTAGTCGCCAGGATTCATCCTGACCGTTGGTTTCGGCGTCCACTTGGAGACTGGTGAAGTCTTTTGTGGAGCTTTAGGAGATGGAGCACGAGCGTCTCCAGTGGCTGAATTGTTGAGAGGAGTTTTCAGTGCAGACGCTCCTTCCGCGTTTCTTCGGCGGCGACGCCGACCCTCGACGAGTTGAAAAATGTCGGCTTGCTCCGCCGAAATGGTGGATGGGCCGTCGTCTGATGGATTTGTCGGGATATACGGCCACGACAGAGTCGTAGGGTCGTATCCACGTAGTTCAGGCAGCGCCATGTTGAGGAGTTGACCGAGCGGCGTCTCCGCATCCAGCAGCGGCGGAGCCGCCGCCGTGAGGCTTAGCTCGTTCGCTACGTTGTGATGCAAAGTTGCTCGAAGTGGCCGAAAATTGGGCGTACCTGGGTGAGATCGGTGTCCCCAGAATCTTGCTGACTTGGCAGATGCAGTCACACAAGTTTTAGAGCAGCCACATTGAAGAGAGCACGGTTCCAGCCGAAAATCGACGGAGCCGATGAGCGTCGCGTCCGATCACTTCGCGAAGCGCCCGCCTACATCCGGACCAGTGAAAGCATCCTCAATCGAGGAGGAAATGCCACAGACTTCTAAAGTTGTACCCGGATATGAGTCGATATATTACGTAATATATCGACTCATAGCCGGGTACAACTTTAGAAGTTTGTGGTACACCTTCTGCATCATTCTGCGAATTAATGATGAATGAGGAACTTTTTTTTGTCCCTTGTTCAAGGGAAGGTGGTACTAAGACAGAGGGTGGTGTAAAGAAACTACTTGAAGTTGTCCTCGACATGCGTGCAGGACGTTAAAAAAAGAAGGAAAAAAAGGGCGGATAAAGAAACGTGTCGCGTATATTTATGTTTTCACGGTCTCGCATGCAACCACGCGGAGTAACATAACTGCCGCAGCCTTATGAGAGCAAGCGTTCCCGCCCGAGCCCATTGTGCTCGTGCAGCTGATGCCATCGCTTCAGATACACGCATACACGGGCACACAGTTCGTCTGCATCATGGCCGACAGTGCCGGTGGCGAGACGCCACTGGGGTGAAGAATAAAGACAGTTTGCGACAGCCTTTCGTATTGCTGTCCTAGTTAATGTGATAGATGCCTTTAAAAAAAGAAAAAATATCTATCACAGCTTATGCACGGAGTGAATGATGATGAGTGGGGTGAAGCGTCTGTCAGCGCATCCGTGCTTCCACCGGTCACTCTAGTGAACACTCCGAGTACCGCCATCTCGGATCTTTTCGTCGTATATTCATCATACACAAGTACCGTCATCCAGCGGACATTCTAAGGACTAAACGAGAGGTGGATACTATACTACAAACACGGGATGTACGACCCACGAAGTAAGAACCTTCGCCCCTAAAAAAACAACAATAATAAGTAATGGCATGTTTCTATGAATTCTGGAAAATCTAAGAATGCAGAATGCCACCTTTTAGGTATATGATCTGGTAAAGAGTAAAAATGTGGTCTGGTAAAGAGTACACATTCGGTCCGACTGCGACAGCGAATGTTTCTCGAACTCATTCAATTGCTTAGGTCATTGGAATCTAATGACATTATATATCGCTGTTTAGCAGCACCATAATGTCATTAGATGCAAATTCCATTCCATTAAAACGACGTCTAAGTCTGCCGTGGAAGGGGCGCAGATTTTATAAGAAGGAGAAGGGTACCATGACGGACGAATCCGGCGTATGAAGTTACGGGGAAGGAAATGTTCGAACAAGCCTTGTGCAATTAACGAGGTATCGCAGTGCCACGAATTATCTGAAGCATCGAAGCTTTTCTGCGCGTCGCCGCGTTCTGCACTACCTTCGCGGTACGCGCCCACTTTAACCAAGCAGTATTCCGATGTGGTGACGTCCCCATGTGACGTGACGTTATGCGACATGGGACGCCGGTCAATTTCCACGCTTAATGATCGCAGCCTAATATAACGAAACACCTGATAGCACTTCGTATTTCGCATGGCGTAATAGCAGTCATTTAATACTGGCTAGGGCCACAAACTGCATGCGCCGTCATGCTGTAGGCCAGCTTCATTCGCTGCTCGAAAATGCCGCAACGTGGCGCCGCTGAATGCGCCACAGAGGCTAGACTCACTGGAGAAACTCTAACAGAGGCTAGCTACTACCTAGTTGCTGAGCGTGTTTTCATCGTTAGGACTTGACCAACGAGGGGGAGTCACTACGGTGACTCCTGCACCCCCCCTCCCCTAATGGAGAACACCATGGGCGCGCTTATGTGTGTATGTGTGTGACAAAACACTCGCTTAATCAGCGGCAGCCGACAAAAATGCATGCTTGCGTCATATCTACTTGCTTCCTTTCACCCTGCCCTTTTCCTCGCCTTTTTTTTTTTCCTATACTCAGTCTCAAAGCGAGTCAACAAGTTTCTCAAGCCTCTTAGGTCGAGACCCGGTGTACGTCCACCACCGAACGTCAGCAACATCCGTCGCTTGCCGGAGCGCAGCGTCTTGATCCGGGGCTGACCTATAAGGCTGTCTAATCCCATTAGTCCCGTATCGTAGCAACCGCGAGCCGACGGGATTAAGCGCACTTCTATACACATAGACCAGAAAAGATCCCCGAGATCGTACAAACCTTGTCCCGAAGTGGACACGTATGAGAAAAAAGATCCCAGACAGGTTTGGCACTTCGACAGCTCGCCACCAAAACCACGCGCGACTGACTCACTGAAAGAGAAAAAAAAAACCATCAATCCAAGCCACGTATTCAATACGAGCGGCGGTCGCGTCGTCAGTCGCGTTCTGCGTTTCGTCTCGAATCAACGCTCTCCCCTCACTTCGTCCGTCGTGCTTTATTGGATGCGCGGCTGTTTATCGCACAAATGCGGTATCCTCGCATCGTCGTGGATAACAGGTGACGTCTGCGTCGGAGGCACGGAGCGTCGCAAGCCCCTCGTCAAAAGTTTGTAAACACGCTGTCAAGACGGCAACATTTTTGCTAGCCTCTGCAGTGTTGTGGGAAGAAGAGTCGCCAGTAGGTATCATTTACTGCCCTTCGAGTTGAAGACATGGTGGTACATCCTTATTTCGATTTGTCGCCGTAGATGCATGGCAGCGAGAGTGGACCAATGTGAACGAACTGCGTACGTTCTTCAGATGCTCTCTCTTCATCTGTAGAAGGATACGAAGCATGCGCGCACGGCCTTCCTAGACGCTGCGTGTTATGGAAATGTGAATCATGGCGCTGTGTGTGTGTTATCGACCATGAACCACATCCGTGACCAGAGTCGCTTGTACTCGTCACACCGCAGCAGAGGCCAGCGCCTCGGAAGATTTTAAGTGACAACTTCTGCGGAGCAGCAAGGTGATTCCCGCTTTATCACTACAGTCGTGAGAGTCGCTTGGTTATTCAGTGCTGATTGACTGGGAATCGTCAAAGACGTCACAAGAAAGGTATTTGGTAGAGAAAGCGGTTGTCCCAATGGTTATAGTCGACAGAATTTCGATTAAATTGAATTTACAACATGAATGGAGTAAAATGTTTAAGGCCACACTCACGATAAATCTGTAAGCGCGCAGCTTAAAAATAATACAATTGAAAAACGCCAATGAAGGGGAGATCAACGTATTTTCATTCTTTACAATGGACAACTGCTTGAAAAGAGGTGGTCGGAAGATGTCACCAGTGCGAGGGGTCAGAATTCATCTAATGCCCCCTCCTCCTACGTTAGTAGCGATTTCCGAAAAACGTCAATAATTTGCAATAAATGTTTCGTATTTACACGTTAATCAATGATACGCCACTAGAAACAGAAACTATGCTTAGGCGATCGTCACTATGGCCCTTACAGGGCAGGAGGTATCTTACCCTAGCTCTTTTATCCGTAACAGCACTGGCAGGACTCTTGGCGGTTTTCAACAGTTCGCGTGAATTTGACGCCTTGACAGCCGTTTCAGATACGTCTAGAACGACACAAATACGGTCTCGATACATACTTAGGCCGAAGACTCGTGAAACGCACGGGCGACTTTCTTCCCGTCGTACTTGGAGTGGTGACCTGTGGAAAGCCGTGTTATTCACCAAGGCACCTCCCACCGTGGCACATGGGAAGAGAGTGTTTTTGGTCATTATGATCGCATCCGCACCTTCTAATACGCATCGGCGGAATGCCATCAGGTCGACCTGGGGTCGACCTTCTACGGAGCAGTCCAGAAGATTCACCCAGGGCAAGTCCACGACGACCATCGTGCCCATGTTTCTGGTGGGCGAATGCGAAGAACACTCTCAGAGCCGTCTTATACGTGAAGAGGCCCGAGAATTCGGTGACATGTTGGTGGGCACCTACTTGGACACGTACCGGAACCTGACACTAAAGACGATACACGGCTTCCTATGGGTCGCCGATCACCTCAGCCCCAGCTTCGTACTCAAGACGGACGACGACTGCTTCGTTAATGTTGACGTCCTCCTAGACGTCTTAGCCGAGACCGTGGTGTTCCAGTCGGAACCCGTCGAGGCGAGTATCGCGAGGACGAGCTCTCTGAGGGAGCTGACGTCTTCAGTCGACGTAGACGTCAGATACCTCGTTCCGACGCTATCTACGAGTCGCGTGATGAGTGTCACGAGGTTGCCCTCCCCTCTATACGTTGGCAACGTCAGATGGAACAACCAGGTCGTCAGAAACCCCAGGAACCGATGGTTTGTCTCTGAGAAAGACTACGCGAAAAGTTGGTACCCTCCATACGGAAGCGGAGCCGGCTACGTCCTCGACGCCCGCGCCCTAGACGTTTTCACCAGGAACGTGCGTCGAGTGAGACCTTTCGCGAATGAGGACGCCTACGTCGGGACTGTGCTTAGTGAGGCTGGAGTGAGGCCGGTGCAGAGCTACCGGTTCGTGTCCCAGCCTGCCGGTCTGTGGACGTGCAACTTCCTGTACGTCATTGTCGTACACGGAGTGTCTGCTGACGATCACGAAAGGTTTCTCTCGAAGGTGCGTAATGCGAGAGATGAGTGTCGTAATGTGGAACGTGATGTCGGTTGGGACTGAGAGAGAAATAAAACAACGCCTTAGAAAATAACTAGTAACTTGATTTTAACATTATGTAGATGCGTGAGAATAGTGGTTTTTCATACCTAGTCCAATAGAGACAGAGAGAAATGTTGGCTTGACTATTCACCCGACACCCTGCTCCAGGTGTTGGGTGATGATCATGATATTTACACTGATAAACACGCAACAGCACGCATGCACGCTCGCCCACACACGCACGCCCACAGAAACACGCACACACGAATTACACTATTCACATAGTTTCCTAAAGGCTCAACAGCATACTCAACAGAACTCAGTAGCTCAACAGAGAGTCAACAGCACTTTTATGGTGCTTAACGCACGTGGGCCAGAAGCTAGAAGCGAATATAGGATTGAATAAAATTGTGGAGTGTTATGTAGTGCTGTTCACATATTGAACAGCAGTTTGTAAGATGAACGCAAAGTAATGCGCAATCGTAACACTGTCGATCCTGCATACTGAACTGTAGTTTATACAATGAATGCAAAGTAATGTTGACACCGCAACACAATCAAGCCACATATACAAAACTCGCGTGTAACAAGTTATTGTATATGCATATATCATACTCGCATGTGACGAGTTATTGCCCGGCCCGTTCAAGTCTCCAATAGAAAACCAGCAACACAAACGCCTGTCTGTATGCATAAGTCCACTATATTGACGCAAGACAGACGCAATGTTCAAACTACACGCGCTGGTTCGTGCCCCCCCCCCCCCCCAAGAGACCTGCAGCCCGATGTTGAGACAAGAAAAGGCCGTGACGCCACGCGCCTTCTCAGCACGGGATTCTGACGAGAAAGAAGTGGGCACGGCTCGAGATCTTCTGCGAGATTGATTCCTTTTTTTCAGATAGCCTGCTAGAAACGCTGCTACACTTCCCTTTACGTTTCGGGCACAAGTTAGCCCCAATAAATAGTTATTCTTACATAATCTGGATTGTGCGTAACAACTTCTGGCGGAGGTGCTAGGTAGATGGAGAACTCGAGCTTGGACTTCTTGCCGTAGTCGCCGGAAAGGCGCTCCATGAGAAGCGACGTGAATCCGGAGCCAGTGCCACCGCCGAAGCTGTGGAACACGAGGAAACCTTGGAGGCCCATGCACTGGTCGGCCAGCTTCCGGATGCGGTCAAGCACGAGGTCGACAATCTTCTTACCTATGGTGTAGTGACCACGCGCATAGTTGTTGGCAGCGTCTTCCTTGCCAGAGATTAGCTGCTCCGGGTGGTACAGCTGCCGGTAGGCGCCAGAGCGAACCTCGTCGACAACAGTCGGCTCGAGATCAACGAATACGGCACGTGGCACATGACAGCCGGCGCCAGTTTCAGCAAAAAAAGTGTTGAAGGATTCGTCAATGCCGCCGGAGACCTTGTCGCTTGGCATCCGGCCATCCTGCTAGATGCCATGTTCGAGACAGTAGAGTTCCCAGCAGGCGTTTCCAATCTGCACGCCGGCCTGGCCGATGTGGACGCTGATGCACTCCCTCAGAGAAACGGACGACGACCCGGAACCTTGCATGGCTCTTCGTCCTCGCAGAACTGTGGTCAAGATCGTCAGGCAACCTAAGAAAACCTGAAGGAGGGCGTGAAGCTTTGGCAAGCGGCAAAAACAGGGATTCTCTGATAAGACGCGATGGCCCAGCGAACGACAGGAAGGTCCGTGCCACAAGGATTTCACTGCGCGTGCACGTTTAGCATGATGGTGGTGATGATGGTGGTTCAATGAGCTACGACAGCGACTCCTAAACCACCCTGTTCTTGCACATTTCCACGAAGAAGCCTAAACGAGATCGGTCGCATATGCTAGTCGCACTCTTTCGAGAGCTGAAATGAATTATTCGGTGAGAGAAAAAGAACGCCTGACGGTAATGTGTGCCATACAAAAATTCCGACTGTACCTATATGGTATATTTCGAGCAGTGAGTGACCATCACTCACTGTGCAAGCTCGCAGGCCTAAAGGACCCTTCTGGGCGACTTTCTAAATGGAACCTCAGGTTGCAAGAATACGACAGTCGTATACAAGTCGGGTCGCAAGCACAGCGATGCTGATTTCCTGTCACGCGCACCAGTGGAATATGCACCTGTGGAAGATGAAGACGACTTTCCGTTTCTTGGAGGCGTCAGTACATGAATGAATATCAGTGATCTGACACGGAGTTGCTTCAGCTGATCAAGCATCTGGAAGAGCAACCTATGCGTGTTCCTCGAGTTTTCGTCCGGGGATTGTCGTCGTGCCTGATGAGAAACAACTTTTTATACAAGAAAAACTTCGAGCACAACAGGGAGAAATTCCTACTCGTCGTTCCTTCGGCCATGCGACCCGAAATCCTGGAAGCCTGCCACGATGACCCAGCAGCAGGACACCTCGGAGTGAGTAGAACATTGGCTCGCATCCGCACCAAGTACTACTGGCCAAAGTTACTGGATGCTTTACAGCATTACTGAGGACATGTAGACATTGCCAGAGATGCAAAACGCCTCCATTGAAACCTTCAGGATTTTTCCAACCAATAGAACCCCCTAAATCTCCGTTTGAACAAGTAGGAATGGATCTACTTGGTCTATTTCCTATGTCATCAATGGGCAACCGATGGGTATAGTGGCGACAGACTACTTAACCCGGTATGCCGAGACCGCCTCTCTGACCAAGGGCACGGCTATGGAAGTCGCTCAATTTTTCGTCACTAACATTGTACTACGGCATGGTGCCCCAAAGCTGGTTATTACGGATCGAGGAACTGCATTCACAGTCTATATGACGCAGTTCATTATGAAACTTACCCACACGTGTCATAGGAAAACAACGGCTTACCATCCCCGACGAATGGGCTAACGGAGCGACTCAACAGAACTCTAACCGATATGTTGTAGATTTACGTTGACTTGGAGCACCGTACGTAGGACAAGATACTGCTGTACGCCACTTTCACTTATAATACTGCTGTGCAGGAGACTACTAAAGTGACGCCTATCCAGCTAGTCTATGGTCGAATAGTTACCACACCATTAGATGCAATGCTGCCAGTAAGCGACAATACAGAGCACAAGCTTGACATCGAGCGAGTTCATTCAGCGAGCCGAAGAAGCACGGCAGTTGGCGCGACATCACATAAACAACAACAACGCGTGGACTGCAAACCGTTACAACCTTCGGCGGAGAGGAGTTGACTACGCATCAGGCGACAGAGTTTGGATTGTGTACTCCCGTGCGGGCGCCTGGCCTCTCCGAAAAGCTTCTGCGCTGCTATTTCGGTCCTTACCGAGTCCTTCGTCGCGTCAGCTCTTGAACTACGAAGGTGTCCCCGGAAGGACAAGTGAGCTCATCAAGATGCCGAAGGAGCACAGAAATCGTGCATGTGGTGAGAATGAAGTTATACTATGACAGCCAATGAACATCGAACTACACACTCCCGGTCATCAGGAATATCTATTTCCCCAATGGAGACCACGCATTCAGACCATTTCAGCAACACTGCTTCTACGCATCGGGACGATGCGTTCTGTGAGGAGGGATAATGACGCAAGACAGACGCAGTGTTCAAACTACGCGCACTAGTTCGTGCGCCCCCCAAGAGACCAGCGGCCCGATGAGGAGACAAGAAAAGGCCGTGACGGCGCGCGCCTTCTCAGCACGGGATTCTGATGAGAAAGAAGTGGGCACCGCTACAATTATTGCACTCCTTTCATTCTGCCTAGGGTGTCTTTTCTTTTTTCTTTTTTTCTCTGGTAGGTGGTTTCGATATTGAATATAAAAAAAATCTCACTGAATTAAGTCATCAGTTCTTGGCCGATCCCCTGAGTGGGTACGAGCCATGGCTGTGGAATCATCATCATCATCATCATCATCATCATCATCATCATCGAGATCTTCTCGGAGATTGATTCCTTTTGCGGATCGCCTGCTAGAAACGCTGCTACATTTTCCTTTACTTTTCGGGCACAAGTTAGCCCCAATAAATAGTTATTCTTACACCATCTGGATTGTGCGTAACAATATTAAAGGCTCGAGAAAAGCTTGACGTTACAAAAATGAGTCAGCACTATTGGGTGGAGCATTCATGCAAATTATTTGTTGGAGGGACAGAGATGGCTGCGAAAGGAACTGATATATTTTTTTTTTCTGATATTGTACCTCTCTTACATGCCCGCCATTCACCCGCCGCAGCGTCACCGTGCATGATGGCTCTTCCTGCGGCTCCCACGACTTCACAAATTTTCGCGTCGCTCCTGTGACTGAGAGGGCAAATCGAATTATAGAAAAAAAAATTAATCGACTACGTCTGTCAAATGAAAGACGAATATCGATGCAGATTAATCGTTGTGGCAGGACAGCTTCGATCCATTAACCATTCATCGATATTACAATTCCTTCACTATATAAGGCAGAGTTTTTGAGGGAGCACATTTTCGTTGACGTTAAGGAGGTTGATGAATTTCGTGAAACCATGTAATCGTAGGCACTTTAATGAATGACCTGTCAGAGTATCAGAATTTGGTAACCAAAAGATAAAACGACGTGTTTGGACGGCAAATAATAACTATCCGAATAAGGCAGAGTTTCCGGACGCCCGTCCGTGGTGCGGTGGCAGACCAACCGCTTAAATCACCTATCGCGAGGGTCAAATAAAAATTTCCAAGCACCCATGTACCTTTATGAGCAAAAAAAAATAAATAAAAAAAATGAAGTTAGCCCTGGAGCAGTGGGAGGCACTGGAGTGGGAGGCACTGGAGGGGGAGGCACTTGAGTGGGAGGCACTAGAGTGGGAGTCGCTGGAGCACTGGAGACAGCTCGGACCTGAAGGTTCAGTTAGCGTTTTTGGTTCATTTCCAGCGGGCTGCCGTCGAGAGTGGGGCGCTGGAGCCTTCCGTTAACGCTCCACATCACCATTCGCCTTTTTATCTTTAATTTTTCTACTTAGTCACTTATATAAGAGGCATAGAGGTCGAACCTCTGTCTTAAATGACGTGGTTGAAGCACAAGACGTGCCGCTGGCAGGTGCCGGGGCCCTGACAATATAAAATAATGCATCATTGGCTCACGTGCTCCTGTCTGACGGTCCCACGTTCGACCAACGGTAATCGCAGAGGGTGTGTCGGAGCGATAAGATGGACCATGTATGTGCTGATTTAATTTCAAAAAGTGGCATAGGACGCGGCCTCATACCGGCGACCAACGCTGGTAATCCACTTCCTCAGCCGTCAAGGATAGGTAATCCTGGCCTAGTTTAGCCATCGTGCGCAATACTTGGCCACCGCCTCTTTCAAGTACACATATAAACGCTTTATTTAGCGCTAGGCTCTGTCGCCGGTAACCTTCGGCCTTGTTCATACTTGCCGATGCTGTCATATCCTGTGGCAAAAAAAAAGAAGAAAGAAGAAAGGCGGTCTACCACAGTCTTCAGTGTCAACTAGGATACGTGTCGCGGGTCGACGATGCTCTTGTCGAGATGAAGCGGCAGGTTTCCGCGGCGTTGACTTCCGAAGAACGCGTCGACAACCTTGAGGCTGCAGTCCAGGGTGTTCTCGGCGTCCTGTTTGCTACCCAGCCGCAGGTTCACTTCGGCCAGGTCCAGAACCCTCAGCTGACCTGCGTTGGCGAGATGATTGAATGATCAACACCTCGTATTCTGCGCCGAAATCATATTAAATGGCTTGCAGCGACGTCATTAACAGCGCCATATTAGAGCAACGCATGCAGGGACAAGAAGTTCGTGATGTCGCCTCAATGTTATTCCTAGATCACACACAGGGTTTTTTTTTTCGTCCACAAACGGATAACATTCCTTCTGTGTCGTTATTTTATGTGTGCAAAGGGTTAACCATAAGGGTTAAGGGGAGGATAGGCTGATTGCAGCGGACCACTCTTATTAAGTCAAACTAAAGGGCGGGCTTTGCGTCTGTCCTGTTGGTGACTAGGACAACCCTGTGCCCGCCCGCCCCCTTTCGTGTGCACACCTGTGGGTCGTTATCATCTAGAAGCGTGTTAACCATGTAAAGGCAATTATGTTACCTTCACATGTGCCTCAACGTCATAGAACCGCCACGTAGGAGTACCAGTACAGCCAAGAAGCTGTGTCCAAGACGTCACTTACAAGATATCTAAGCACCAGAATGCACTGGCGCCATGAGCGAGAAGTTCGTACGGGAGGTAAGTCTTTGAAAGATGTGTGCCTGTTTTTGCTGGCGGACATATGGAAAGACTTACCCGAGTTGTTGACTTCTTCCGCGATGATTAGTCCTTCTCGAAGTGTGAGACCTCCCATGACTGTAGAATTATTAAAGAGAAAGTTTTTTTTAGAAATAAGCGGTGTGCTGCAGGGACGCGATTTGACTGCGCACTCCCGGCTAATTATGGGCTAGAGCTCAAGAGGTCTAGCATGCTTAGTGGTTGCGTTTAATATTAGACGGGTAAAAGGAAGGAAAAACTGAGAGAGGAAAAAAATACAGCTGAAGGCACCTGCTGTCACCTTCCAAGAGCTGTTTACTTTCCTTCTTCACTCCCGTAGAGAGGGAGAGGGAATAACTTGAAATAAAGACAGGGAGGTCGACCAGAATCGCAGCATCCGGTTTGCTGACCTGCACTAAGGGGAGGGGTTGGCACACCAGGCCCATGCCCCCGTTTCCCCGAAAATTTCTTCAGTCATGGCATACAATGTGAAAGATGACTTTTTGCCTACCCCCCTTCAAATTAAGGTAGTTGCCCCCTCAACGTGACAGCAAAAATATCAATGCATCGTCCATGGTGAAAGGAAGTGTTGCAACAGAGGCTGTCGTCGGTCTGAACCGGTACATTTATGGCAATTTTTGCAACCGGACTACGTATCTTGTATACAGTGCTGACTCGTACAATACTATAGAGGAGTGATTATCGAGTGTACCACTTGTTATTGCTGTCTCTCTCTCTCTAAGTTCGCATAATGTCTTTTTTATTTTCAAGTTCAGCCTGAACACTTTGGATGGTGAAATCACGATACACGCGCGCTCGCACAATATTTGAATTATGACGTCACACCACTCACCGGGTGTTCCCGTGCTGGGCGCCACCATTTTGTCGAGCGAGTCGATGTCGTAGCTGACGTGCAGCGACTTCGTACCTCTGCGCGAAAAAAAGAGAGAGTAGAAGGGAGAGAGCGAATGCTGAAACAGCACCACGTGCCAAACTGCAGCTTGGGCGATGGGGAATATTACAAATTTTTCGAAAAAGTGAAGGGGTCACTAGCTTGGTATTTTACGGTAGAAACCCGCGCAAGTGCAACAATATTAGCCGAAGCGAGTCGATTCTTATTAGATATCGAAAGTCATACATGTAGATTTCGGGTGCCTCTTAGCAGCATCATCTTTACCACCAATAGGAAATCATGCTCACGATCCATAGATATTTCTGTTCTCGTAGATAAAGTCTCACTGGCGTTAATACTCATGGAGCCCGTGAACGTAAACGATACCAATATATGTCAACATACTCATTTATTTGCACAACAAGAGGTGGGCACGCGATCATATGCCACAGCATGCCAGAGATCCGTGACCTTAACGCCGCGTACCCACTTCCCCGCACGCATAGGTACGACGCCCGATCTCGGGGGTTATTCTGTGCAGACGACTCTGGAGGAATGGTAAAAACACGCAGATATGCACTCACGTCGGGTTGATCTTGTTGAGTATTCTCTGGACGACGTTTCGGATCCCGTGCCGGTCCACGTCGGCCATGTCGTAGACAGTTATTCCAAGCTGGTCCAGGAAGTGCCTGTTTCAACGTGAATGCGAATGATGTGAACACGTACGTGTGATTTGTTTGCCGTCACTTTGACGACAGAGTCGGTGTGGCGTAGAAGAAAGTTGCCATCATCATGTCCACTGCCCAGCTGGCCTTGCCACGTCGAGACGAGTTAAGCTTATACGAGCCGACTTAGTCGGAGGTAATTATAGCCAAGCCTAATTTATTCTTTCTCAGCTAAGCATTGATATGCTACTTAAATCGGAACCTATTTAGCCCTAATTAAGCCAAGACATTTTAGTGAGGTTATTGAGGCAAACATGACCGTTTACTCTAATTAAGAATCATTATTGGCAATTAGAAGCAGCGATAACTAGCTTAATTATCTAATGAAGGCAGTGTAGGGGGTAAAAATTCGATTTATTACCTACTGTGATCTGCACGTTAATTAGCTTAATTATTTTAAGATAATTACCCAAATAGAGCTACTGGAATTGGGCCGATTTGGTGCTGCTGCATGATGGGCAATCGATACCTAATTGATAATGATCGATAAGTTAGCCAACATTCGGTTTGCAAGGAAATGGACGTGAAGTTAGTGCAGCCGCGTGCACATGCGCGTACCAGTTGACTTAGCAACGCTTAGCGAAACTTTGAATGCTTAGCCAAGCCATGAGAAGCTGTAGCCAGCTCTGCTGTGACCCACTTTTGCGACTTTGTGCAAGCCGCACTAAATTTTATGTGTTTTTTATACTACCTCTGCGACTTGGTGCAAGCCCTACTGAATTCTATGTGTTTCGTATAATACCTTGGGGTCGCACAATTTTATACAAGCTTGCTAGTCCTGACTGCATGGTTTTTATTTTGGCTATGTTGACGAATCATTTATTGTTCGAAGAACTTATAAGGGTGACAGCGTTTCCTGGCCACAACCATCTCCAAGCGTACTTCGAAACTTTCGTGTCCGTTATTTATTTGTATCCCTTAAATGCACTAAATATGCGCCCATACCTTGATAATAATTTTACCCTAGAGCATTATTACACGATAACGCGAGGAGCCGGTCTCAATGATTTGGCTCAAATTCAACAAGTGCCAAATTCAAGTTATGTGCCATGAGTGGAGCAGCCTCGATAACTTACTCAAATTTACTGATTCGAACAAGTGCTATAAACATATCAGTTCAAGATCATAAAACTTCCGTTTATTAGCCTCTTATGCATCCCAATTTCTTGTACAAGTAGCCATGCATTACTCTGCAAACAGTGCAGCTACAGAATTCGAACTATGCTCGTTGCAACAGGTAAGTTTTAATTTCCCTGCATAACCAAAGAAGCGGCTTAAAAGCAAAAAGCTAAAAAGCTCCTAGTAAAACACACCGCTGCAGTGGCGGACACTCACCGCTCATAGTCGTCGACGTCCCGTAAACCTATGAACGCAAAGTTCTCTTTGTGTACGCTGTAAAAATAAAAGGACAAACAATTAACGACACGAAAAATGACTCATCAGGTGGTGTCGCTAAAGTACAATGAGATACGCTGAGGTACAATAGGGTATGTCTGTAGAATAGTAATGCACATTGATATCCATATCTTACTGGCCTGTAAGACACGTCATTCAGTTGAGGGAAGAACGCCCCTCTTCCTTACCATGGCTGTATCCACTCGAAACCTCTGGGTTTCACGACGTACGGCGCCATCTCGTGCAACAGGAAAGCGACGGCCATGCCATGAATGTTGCCTGTTACGGAAGACGCAGAGCACACAATGAACACGTATGAACCCGTGTGCTGCTCAAGCAAAGAACTGCATTTCTGCAACGTGACTTGTTGAAAGACCTTATATGACCATGGGATAAATTTAAAAAAACGAATCACAGAATATCCACGGAGTGAATGATGATGAGTGGGGCGAACCTTCGAAAAGTTTTATCGGCAAACCATCAATCATCCACTGGCAGCGTCCGTCCGTCCGTCTGTCTGTCCGTCCGTCCATCTATATAGTGAACACTCCAAGTACCGCCATCTCACATCTTTTCATCATATATTCCTCATATACAAGTACCGCCATCAAGCTGACATTCGAAGGACTAAAACGTGAGATGGCTACTTCGCACAGGAAACGCACGACCCACGCTTTAAGAAAAAGAGCTTCGCCCCTAAAAGGTAGGCGAGACAGGCGCTGACTTCCGCCTAACGTTTCTTCAGAGTTGAGAACGCCACATACTGTTCGAATCTCAGATATCAATTAGATATCTCACATACTACACTGGGTTACAATCTTAAAATAAATCGGCTGATTATACCCACCTTTTGGGAATCAGTTTCATGCAAAGCAGTCGGCGAGAAATCATATGCTGCATGCTTTAGGCTTTGAACCAAGTGTTAAGAATAGGATCGACGTGGTATTTTATGTGCAGCAGTTGTGTGTGAACATCGACTACATTGGCGCTTACGGGGTAACTTGTGGTGTGACGTAACTTCAGCAGTCGAAATTCAAAGGTTTCAACATTTTTGGTTACAAAGCAACTTGTGGTGACCCAAGGAGGATTTAAAAAACAGTGACAATATACAGGGCGTTTCAAGAAATGTGTCCAACATTAAAAAAATCAGGACAAGGCGCCATTTCCTTTCTGTTTTCAGAGATAATTTTTTTTGTAGTGGCAGACATATTAAGAGGGCTGAAGATGTTATTTAGAACGGTAATTAGGAAAGTTAGAATAATTAACTTCTTAATTAGTGGAGTTAGGCAGTTAAGTGACATGGGAAAATTGAAGTACTTTGTGCGAAGAACCGATTGCCGCATTGAGATTTTGAAAAAGCGGCCTCTATTACTAACTGCAAATTAATGAAGTTCTCCCAGTGTTTGCGGCGAAACCGAAACCGAAACGCAAAAGAGCGCAACTGAAATGAGGGAGCCTTATTATATCAACCATGAATCGACTCCGTTGTGTGTGTGTGCGTGTGTGTGTGTGTGGTGGGTGGGGGGCTGTACTCGCAATCACAACTCGCATGACGCACATACGTTATCGAACGCGAAAAACTGCTGCCCCGTAACCGCTGTTTTGAACAGTGACGTCATTGTAGTCGTCTGCTTGTTGCACTCTTCGGTCCATTGGTTTCGGTTTCGCAGCAGAATTCAGGAGAATTTCATTAATGCGTAGTTATTACTAGAGCCCGCTTTTCTGTAATCTCAAAGCAGCAATGGCTTTTTTTCGAATCAAGAACTTCAATTCTTCCACTCGACTTAATTTCCCAACTCCACTAGTTAAAAAGTTTGTTAATTTACCTTTCCTAATTACCGTTCGAAATGATGTCTGCAGCCGTCTCAAGATGTCTGCCGCTACAGCAAAAGCAACTGTGAAAACAGAGAGCAAATAGCGTCTTTTGCTCATTTTCAAACATTATTGAACACATTCATGAAACACCCTGTATACAGCATTAGCAGGTAGCGAAGATAAAGCAGTGTTTTCTTCGCATGGCCTGCCAGTTTTATAGGCTTAATATTTCGCACATGTATAGTGCTCGAGGTGTTCGTTCGTGGTGGGCTAATTTTCTTCGAGTTTAAGTCGTCAATACTAGTCTTGGCTGCTTACTTTCGTCGTGGACAATAAACTATTTCCTATTTGATCATTCGTCTGTCCTTTACAGTAATGCAGCAGTGCCGCCTTACTTCTACGCGTGTTACACCTGAAGAGAGCACGTTTTTCACACGAACCAGGGGCAAACCGTGGCTTCAAATTTGCCGGCAATGCGTTGCGAGAGTTCACACTCCAGCATTTTTTTTTTGTTTAGATCTGTTTAGAAAAAAAAATATTTTATAGTGGCACACAACAAACACGCGAGAACAGTGCCTATAATAGGACAATACCATAAACAAATCACTAAGCACGCGGTGTAGCTCAGATGGTAGAGCGCTCGCTTGGCGTGCTAGAGGTACTGGGATCGATACCCAGCACCTCGATCAGATGTCACGGGGTCATGACGTGGCCGAAGACAGGAGACTTCGTGTTGGGATTTAACTGTTTATTTGGGCAAACCTGTGCCCGGTAAACGGAAAGTCCGATTACACTATAGCAGTCTTGCACAGATAGCAGTGAACGGAGCGTCGGTCGTCGATCAACGATACTGACAAGCGGCGAAGTGCGTCGGCACTTATACCCTTGCCGTCTAATGTTCTAGCGTTATCGCTGGCGGTGACGTAGGTTCCAGAATAATCTGTACAGTTCGCAGAGTGGGCGTGATCTTATCGAAATGATCTACTAAAGTCCGGAAGCTTCTCGAAAACTGCAGGCGTGGTTTGCGCTGAGAATTATGTAGTGTTTTGAGACGATAACAAAACTTGGGAAATGGAACGTGGCATTATACAAATAGCTTTTGTAAAAAAAAATATCCAAGTCCATAGCGAGCCCCTGCACACGATTCTAAGGACTAACACACACTCATCACAATTTACACAATGTACGTGATGAGGTATATACCGAATTTACTATACTTGGCGAGAATGTCAGCCAACACGTACAAGATATATTATGGTGCATCAATCTACATACTTTGTAGAGTTAGAATGAAGTGTACATATACAAGAATCTACATGCATACGGGGACATACACAAACATGTTCAACGCATACGGATTACAAGCACCAGGCTACAAGATCCACACACGATGATATACTGTCCGAATGTGTCCATCAACTGCCGACAGAAATCAGTACAACTACTTCCGTGTTTAGAAAAAAGTAGTCAACGATTTAGAGTACTTGGTACTCAATAGTATGAAAGAGCATATAGCTGTCCCGTAGGTCTCATTATACAGGAGAGATGTAGTTTATAAAAAGTGGTTAAGGATTTGGAGCACTTGGTACTCTACTATGGGAAAGACTAAAGCCGTCCCGTGGGCCACACACTCGAAGAGGCACACCAAAGAAACTGAATGCGCCCCGTCTGCTACAGCTTTCAACTACTGCGGTAAGTACCAACTGCTACGTCATTGCGGCATCAAGCCTATGAAACATGTCCGCTATAGGAACTTCAATTATCCAGAGGTTTGTCAGGCAAACAATTTTTTGTCTGTCTAGCAAAATCACACGCAAACGTAACGTCGCAAGGACATGACAATCAAGCAGGGCGTCGGTTCTTTAACCTAATACTTTTTGGTTTGGCGTTATTTTCCGGTACAAATCAGTTTTATGGTATCCCGCAAGGTGAACGATGGGCTGTAGCAGCTCAAGAAAATCAGGACAGACTTGCCGCATTGAGTATCTACATTAAATTCGTTCCAATCAAGGAGGTTTTTAGGGGCGTAGCTCCTTAGGCCGTTGGGTCGTTCCCTCCTCTGTAGTCGTAGTATAGTGGTATCTAGCCCACTCTTGTTTATGAGTTGCTAATAGAGGTCATTGTGTGTATATGTCCCCGGGAAAAATATAACTAGGTGGCGTTAGTGGGAATGATGATAAGTGGGGCGAAGCGTCCGTCCGTCCGTGTGTCCATTCATTCGTACGTCAATCCGTTCACCCGTCCGTGCTCCTGTCCGTTCGTCCGTGAATCCATCTGTGCGTCCGCCCGTCCGTCCATGCTTCCGTACGTCTGTCAGTCCGTCTAAGCTTCCGTCCGTGCATCTATCTGTCCGTCCATGAGTCCGTCCGTGCGTCCGTTCGTGCTTCTATCCTACCGTCCGTGAGCCCGTTCATCTGTCCGGACGCATGGGCGGACGCATGCATGAATGGACACGTGGACGGACGCTTCATCCCACTTATCATCATTCACTCTGTAGATATGCTGATTTTGGAAACCTCGTTAGTTCAGATGCTTCATCAGAATGATCGTTGGCGTCAACACGAAAAGCAATACAAGAAATGATCATGACGTCATCATAGTGTCACAGATCGCAAAAAAATTAGTACCACTGTTAAGACTTTATCATGACGTCACAGTATGACGTCACTGATCATGTCATCGCATAACATCCTCGCTTGGTCACAAATGGGCCAGTCCCGCGGGCACTGCGAAACATATTTTAAAAAAATCACAGCGTATTTCCACGGACTAAATGATGATAAGAGGGGCGAAGCATCCGTCAGTCCGTCCACGCTTCCATCCATTCATTCGTTCTTGCTTCCGTCCTTCCATGCGATCGTCCGTGCGTCCATCCTGTCTTGCTTCGGTGTGCAGCAATTTGAGGAAACACGAGTACAAGTGCTATATTGCTCGTCTTATTTGATTAGAAAGGAGAACGCAAAGACGTGTTTCGGTAGCAGTAGCTGGATCACACGCTGGAAACGTCATTGTATTTAAAAAATAACGAGGGTCACAGTTTACGGTTTATCTTTCTTCCTTCAGCATTCCGAGTTCCTCTCTCTGTGCAGCAAGGGGCGCAGCAATACGTCGGAGTTGCGATTATCAGCCAATACGCACCTCACGTCGATACGCCTTACGTATACGTAAACACACGCGGCGTACTGTGCGTGCTGCGCCGCGCTCGAGCCTCTAACATGGCGGTATGCGCACGACGGCCGACAGATGGCAGCAATTTCGCATAAGGTCTATAGCGAGGCCTGGTCGGTTGTCGGTCCATCCGGCGTATCTCGCAGTGTTCCCTTATCGTACAATAGAAGGTGCTATTTTATACAGATGCATGCAAATTGCAGTTAGGTGACGATATACTAGATGGCGCCGGCCTATGCATACAGTATGGTGGTTTGGTGAAGGTACACTAGATGGCGTTGCTAGTGCAGCTGCTCTCCGATTGGCTGCAGCGCGGGCTGCGTGGGGTTGTGCCCGGCGGAAGCTCTCATTCGCTGGATTGTCGCCGTACGAGTGCGCTTGCCGGATCGTGCTACTTGGCGGGCCATGGACGACGAAGAGCACCGGGTGTGCAACACCGTTGCGGCTCGTGATCGGTCGGCCGAACCCCACTACGGACAGGAAAGCGTACATAGACGTTGTGGTTGCAAACTTTAAAGTCACGCCGGTGCAAGAACCCCTATCGCTCCACTTCACCAACCACGAGTCGGTAATGATGAAGGCGGAGAGAGAACCGTTCGTTGAAGCTCGAAAGAAATTTCACGCCCGCTATCGCGTTGATTACTGCTGGGCGAAACCACTTAATATTTCACGCTGCAAATATGATTGCTTCGCGAGCGTCACCCCAAACTCTTCATCATTCACCCAGTGGAGGATATGCTGTGATTTTTTACTCAATATTTTTTTAGAGTGTACGTGTGTGTTTTCACACACATGTGGAAAATTTTGGCTACAGTTAATGTCCTTGGCTGAAAATGGCTATACGTTCTTGCAAGCTTTTTTTTTCATTTTATGGCTATTTCTTGAGTTTTCAACCTGGCGAGCCTGCTTGACGTCATAAAAATAACTAAGCACTGTTGAATGGAACGATAATGAAATTATCTGTGGGAGGGGCGGCAATGGATGTGGGAGGAGCTGATAGCTTTTAACAGTGACGCTGTTAATAGTCGAGGCTGTCCCGTCCGATGGCGTAGCGCCGATCACGAGGCACAACAGTGCGGTGAAGGTGAGGCTTCATAGGAAGGGGAGTGTTGCACCACGCCTAGAGTGGCGAGGGTGAAGCTCGACGATTGAGCCAATGGGAGGCATGCCAGGAAAAGGGAGAGAGACGTTGTCGAAACAGTGAACCAATCAGATGCATTTCAAAGGAGCAAGAGAGAGAGGCTCAGCAGAGGAATCCAGCCATTTTGCGAGGTGTGTCCCTGAGTGTCCTGGAGGAGTATAAAGGAGGACGTTGGGTCTTCATAATGAGCAAGACTGCTCCCGAAGAAGAAACCACCCGACGTGAGCCTCAGGGAAAGCCAAGGAGGGAACAGGTGTGTCGTCGCCAGAGAGGCCGAAGCTAATCACTGACGAAGCAAAAACTTGAAAAGATAGAAGTATCCGATAGATTGATGAAGGAGGGGCATCCGCATATTTGCTTCTAGGGTGCATTTCAGCAAGTGAAGCGGGCAGGATTTTTTGTGTTGTAATCAGGTTATAGTGCACGCTATCTCGAAGATTCTCCACGCTCGCAAATTACATACCTGATGCGGATGAAGTGGGCGTGTTGATGTCGGCGTGGGCGTCCACCCAGATGACGGCCAGGTCCGAGTGGGTGGCCTGCGCGTGACCGCTGACCGTGCCGATGGCCATGGTGTGGTCGCCGCCCAGGTTGAGCAGTACGCGACCCGAGCGGAGTACCTCGGCCACAGCATCGCGGACCTGCACGAGACGAATCTATACTCACGAGCCGTACGTGGTCCCTTCGGAATGGCGGATCAGTGACGGTTTTTCTTCTGTAGCTGACGTAAGTATGCCTACTCTCGTCAGCATGCCTGTATACAACTGATGTCAGTGTGACTAATGGCGGCTCCTGCGTGACATGCAGCAGCTCCAGAAAGTTGTGCCTGCTTTTCCACTATTGTGACCCATTGTTGATGGCATATATTCTTTTGTGTGCCTCGTAGAAGATCCACCAAATGTGATTAATTTTCATCCCGAGATGCGCATATCGTCCAACGACTCGTTTTACCCCGCCGCGGCGGTCTAGTGGCTAAGGTACTCGGCTGCTGACTTGCAGGTCGTGAGATCGAATCCCGCCTGCGGCGACTGCATTTACGATGGAGGCGGAAATGTTGTAGGCCCATGTGCTCAGATTTGGGTGCACGTTAAAGAACCCCACGTAGTCGAAATTTCCGGAGCCCTCCACTATATAGTGGAGGACTCCGGAAATTATGGGCGTCTATCATAATCATTTGGTTGTTTTGGGACGTTAACGCCCACATATAAATCAATGCAATGACTCATTTGCAGATTACCTATTAAGCATACTCTTACAGCGGACACAAGTTTGTCTAAATTTCTGTACTTCGTCTTTAATTTAGGTGACTGTTCATTGCCTTTTTCGTTTTCTCCTTTTCCCGCAATTTGGTTAATTTTCGTATCGCCTTTATATTTTACTGAGTGTGCGTGCTCGCTTATGCTATGGATGTTGAGGCCCACTCAAAATATGATGCGCGTGCGTGTGTGTATGTGTGTTTGTGTAACGAGACGTGGCGTGATGGTTTTCAGTGCTGCAAAGGCAAAATGGGTCCAAAGAACTCCATGGATATTGCCGAGTCAAAAGAAAGAAAAAAAGAGAAGTATACGTGCAAAAACGGGGTGGTTAACCAGCACTGAACCCGACTAATGCCACTGGAGCGGAAAAGTACAGCGACCGCAAGGCCTGCTGCATATTCGGTCCAGCGCGGCTGACGTTAGGCAGAGTGGCGTTGATCTGACGTGGAGCCTAACAAACATTTTACAGATCGTATGCGCCTTTACCCTCCCGAAAGAAGCATATCTTTGTTTTTAACAGACAAAAAAAAAAGATAACGACAGTTTTCATTTGCCTATAGAGACGCGCATGAACGCGCACTGACGCGATAGAAAAAGCGAAGCATTTCTTAGCGAACGTCTGCGCATTTGCATCTATCTATCTATCTATCTATCTATCTATCTATCTATCTATCTATCTATCTATCTATCTATCTATCTATCTATCTATCTATCTATCTATCTATCTATCTATCTATCTATCTATCTATCTATCTATCTATCTATCTAATCTCTGTAGCCACCTTTGAATAATGGCCATGCCTGTCATGTTCAACGTGATTTACATGCCACGCTCAGGTTCCCTCGCGGCCGATTCACTGACTTGATATACACCAATAATGGTACTGCGTGCCCTGATTGTATGGAGAACATAAATAACAGATGGTGTTGGGCTCGAACTTCGTGCGTTCCCCGAATACCTTATGTTACCCACCCAGCGGCCGGCGACCCCTCGCCAACAAGGAAGCAGGGCCACCCGAATGCGGGACGATGACTGTCTGCTGGCCACAAAGGACGCGACAACTCCCGTGCCGCTGTCGGGCTCAATTATGGCGCCTTACAGGAGACCAAGCCAGGCTGCAGGTGGCCGGTACACGTGGCCGGTACACGTGGAAGGTACACGTACGCGTCCGCCGGACAATCAGAATCAGCCGAGGCGACGGCATTGGCGCAAGGGCCAATTGTATTGATGGCCTGTCAGCCCGACATCGCGGGAACTTACTCGGAGGCGCTTTTCCACGACCTGACAACGCCCGTCGTCGACCATGCCGGGAACCGGTGTGAAAGAAACCTGAGCGACGGCGGAGAACCGATGAGTGGGCAAGAGGCGGTGGATCTTCGAGGTTGTGGCGAGGAGAGACACATCCGTGCGTTCCAATTGGACTGTAAGAGTGGTGCGTTACGATTGGACTGTAAGAGTGGTTGAATGGGGAGACAGGGGATAAATCCAGGGGTGCAGGGACAGTGAAAAGAGAGAAGAGAAACGAATAAACGTCTCTATATCGAGATGATGTCGGAGCGGTCGTTTCCTCAAGGTGCCAGCAGATGAAAAGTTCTCGTCTTCGTCTTCCTTGGCGGCAGCAGCAAATGTCGCGCAACAAGCGAGAGGCGAGTGGAAAGAACCAAACGGAACGTAACTTGGTAACTCGAAAATAATGACACATGCGTGTTCTTATTGTCGTGTTATCGCATAGCAATATTAAACGACCATGAGTGATCCGAAACACTAGTGAGGCGAGTGAGTTGGACGTACGAAGTCACGGAGAGCGCGCGGCAGCGAAGAGAAAAAGAATGCCGTGATTTAATTTCCCCGTCGTATAAGAACTTTAAACCCGACTGGCTGACTATGTCCCCCCCCCCTCCCCCACAGATACACATACACACACTATCGAAATAAAGGATTGTGAGCATCCGGTAATCACGTCCTTGAGTCCGCGCATGTGCGTAAAGGGTGCTTCAACCGATAGAGAGCCGTGTCATGAAGCGACGTCACATTTTGACGCAAACGAAAGGAAAGTTTTGACGATTTCCGGGGACACGCAACGTGCAGAGCTGGTGAAAGCAACGACGCATTCTTTCTGACAGGGCAATGTCTTTTTTTCTTTAAGCCCGGTGGCCCACCACTCTCATGCTTGAAATGTTTAATATACCGTATACTTACTCGGTTGAAATGCGAACACGATTGTGACGCGAGGGGTGACTTTTCATTGCGTCCCGGAAGAAAATTTTGCCCACTCGATTTTATTACATCGCTCCCCCTAGCGTACGTCGCCGCACTAAATCGAACGATTGCCTTCAACCAATGACACGCGCCATATGTGACATCATTCCTATTTTATAAGATCTCGCGTCTTTCATCAACTACAAGTACCGCTTTCTAGTTTATAACATCTTGCATCTTTTCATCATCAGCTACAAGTACCACCATCTAGTAAACACTACAAGAACTAAACGAGAGGTGGCTACATACAGGAGACGGTACCGCCATCTAGTGAACACTGCAAGAACTAAACTAGAGGTGGCTACATACAGGCTACAGGGGACGCACAGCCCACGCCCTAAGGAGCTTCGCCCCTAAAAATCGTTAATTCGGTATTCCTTCGTAACGGGAGGCTCGACCTTAGTTATAGTCTGGGGGACAAAAATAAATAACGCCCGTTAAGTTCGAGTAAACGCGGTACAAGGTCGTTTGTGGAGCGGCAAGCCTGCCAGCCTTACGTTCTTGCTCGTTTTTCCCACGATGTCCGACTCGATAGCGTTGCAGTCGGTGACGTTTGGCTCGCCTTCCACTCGAACGTCGCCGAAATCCTTGACAAGATGACCTGCGTGCCACAGAGGTTGCGCACTGTATTAATATCCCAGCGTGCAACAAATCATGCCAAGTTACATTCGAGGCAGAGTTTGAGCCCGGGCTACCAATGAGGTTAAAAATATTTGAAGTGTGGTGCATTTTGGGGGCCCGGGATGTCATACTTTGCTACATCTTGGCGTAACGCAGGCAAAACATCAAATAGCATAGCTATCTGTATTGCCCTCGTTCGCGGCGAGCTTCAAATTGGAGATGCCTGTATACTGACAAGAATGGCGCTCCTTTAGTTTTTTTTTTCAGGGGCTTCCATTACCCTCACCCTCTCTCTGATTACCCATACCCTCTCTGATTGGTGAGGCCCTTCCCCGGCACGCTTACCACGTGAGCTGCGTAGTTCAGCTGCACTGATGCCCTCCTCTCCGGGTCACGAGACCGGACTGAGCTCCCGAGTAACGTTGGCTCCTGAGCAACGCCAGACATCGAAGGGTGAAACTAAAACACGCGCACGATGGACCACCCGTCATCGATTTGCGATGACATAATCCGCCGCCATATTCCAATTACAGTCACCGGTAACGTATACAAGCACGCAGAACATTCGCCACGTACAGGGAGGCTGCGAGTGCGACTCAGCGCTGGTGTCAGAAGGCTCACAGGTAGATAAAAGAAGCGTTGCTGGAAGTTCTATAGAGTGGCACTGCGCCCCGTGCGGTTCTGGACCTAGAGGCTACCACTAGCACTCGATGCGGGCTGTACTTGATAGGTAACGAGTAGCCGAGAGGTCTTAGTGAGGTACACGCGACGAGGAACACGCGATGGCAGGGGCGATCCGACAAGGGCGAACCACAGCCTCGTCCCACTCTCATGGGTAAGTTTCAGGATCCGTGTTGTAAGCACAATGATGCCTCATGGGCACATTATACGTGCCTTGCCCTTCAGGTTCTTGCCCTGTCGTCCACGCACTGTAGGATGGTCACCAAGTAGTCTATAAAGGCTTAAACAAGGCTCAAAAACAATCCGAAATAAACTAATGAAATGTTGAAGCTTTTCTTCAAATAAATGAAACCATGATGATAACGACAGCTTTTTTTTTTTTTGCGCTGACAGCCATCATCACATTGTAAACTACAGAAATACGCAAGAGAGAGCCACTATGTGGACAAGCGCGCAAATCTCGAAGTAGTGGCAAAGCGCCATGGAAATCACTCACAATAAATGTATATGGAAAGGACAACGGGTGGTGAGGTGTTTAAGGTAAAGACCTAGCGCTAGTAAAAAAAAAATGCACCCCCTCCCGCTAAAGGGAACCACGTGAAGATGCGAAGCAACGGGAGAGAGGAGGAGCAGAGAGGAGTAGAGGACGCGCATGCGTGGTAAGGGTGGTCACGCCGCACACCGGATTGAGCTCGACCATAAGATTTTTCGCATCTAAAAAGGAGATCGCGTATATCTGCGTGCTTCGCTGCAAATGTCGTCGAAAGACGATACTCTTCTGTCAGTAGTCTTTTTCATGCATAGTACCGCATGCTTAGCAAGCGTAAAAAATGTTAAGGTCTTTGGAATTACCGTATCAATGTATTTTCAGTAAATGAACTCACCATTTGAATACTTACGTATTGATGTTGTGCCTCAGATATGCGTAATGTTTGCTTTTTTGGTGAACAATGTTCACAAGTATGAAGGGCAGCCACCAGTTTAGGATTGGCTGAACGTTCAGCAAATGCTTGAACTTTGGCCGGGTGGCTGAATCGTGTGACAGACAGACAGACAGACAGACAGACAGACAGACAGACAGACAGACAGACAGACAGACAGACAGACAGACAGACAGACAGACAGACAGACAGATAGATAGATAGATAGATAGATAGATAGATAGATAGATAGATAGATAGATAGATAGATAGATAGATAGATAGATAGATAGATAGATAGATAGATAGATAGACGAATTTCTAAGTATCGCAAGATAGACAATCGTCTTTAAACTATAAATATATTCAATCAACGGTATACTCACCCAAACCTCTGAGCTGGTCGAGAAGTCCAGCGTCCCGCAGGAACTTCGGCCCCTCTTCTACGCCAAGCTTTCGCTGTTTACGCAAAAATAATGATAACAATGAATAATTTAAAGATACATAAATACCAACAACGTTTTAATTACAAACCTGAGTCACATTTTTCTGGTGATTTATCACCTGTATACTGTGCGCCGGAAGAGGTTGCGTCTCATAATATTACGGTCGTAATATCACGGTCATAATATCACGGCCCATGGGATGGCCTAGTGCTCTCCCACAGTAGAGTACCAAGTACACTAAATCGTTCACCAGTTTTTATCTAAACATGTCGAAATCGTTCATAACTTTTTCCAAACACACGATTCTGTGCTGTTGAAATGTACTGTACAAAATAAATTCATGCCCACTGTTTCTGAATAATTTTTTCTAAGCACTCTTTCGCGGGACGGCTTCATGTTCTTCTACAATGATGTAGAGTACCAAGTACTCTACATCATTAAAGAGGAGAAGCAACTTTAATCGAAACAACAAGTTTAACATTTCCTTTAAACAAACGGGCACTCGTTTATCTCTCTGTTCCTCGACAGAGACGGCTTTTGCTCTCCCATAGTAGATATACAGCTACTAGAAATCGTTAAACACTTTCTCAAAACACAGAGACTGTTTCCTATTCTTCGTTCCGTGCCACGATGGCATTGATTTTTTGCATAATTTTGCTTAGGCAGTTGTTTATTTTAATGCTGTTGTTGTATAGTCCATTTTCAAGTGTTTGCAGCGTCTCACAATAGAATATATTTTTTTTTCTAATCACAGATTGGCCGCCTACACCTCCGAGAGTGGGGCAATGGCATTATTAACACAACAACAACAACAACAACAACAACAACAACAACAACAACCAGAATTGTTGTGGTGTGATCGCCTGACCACATTGAACGACATTGCACAATATTACAGACTAAACAGGCGCAAGCACCCACCACCACGCACCAAATAAAACAAAAGACGGGCTGTATAACTCTGAGATTATTATACTACGCCTGTTTTATCCATTGGGCCTATACACGATGGATGCGCGTATAAATGAGGGCACCAAGCTCGACCTTGACTGTTCTTTATTGTACGAAACATTCCACAGTGGCAATCGATACTATCGGTATAGCGAGCATTTCAGTAATTCAGTGACAGCTAGAAGCGATCACTGCTAAACCCGTAGGCAGAAATATTCGGCAGATCTCACGTACCTTAAGAAACGGTGTTATGAGAAGCACGTAGATGGAAAGGCGTACTGTGTCGCAATTTTTTTGTTGAGCGAAATGTGCACGAAGTGGCACTAAGGATATGTACAAATGCACGGATATACGTTAAAGAGACGCATACGGTTTATATAACCATTTTTTACAGTTGCGCAATGAAGCCAACAGCGCCATTGATATTAGCAACACCAGAAGCGGTAAGCTGATATGAAGCGCTTGTGCTCGCGAGGATAGCCGTGGACACTGCTACATGAATCAACTTCAATGGATCACGCCTAACTACAATTGACATTAACTCGAGGTGACGGCTCTATCATAGGAGTACATGTGTAATGTTCATAATGTTAGATAGCCAGCATTGCAAACACTCTTCACGTTTCGTGAATCTCAGAGTCAACTTGAAAACCAGTTCTGAAACCGAAACCTGGCGTGGCTCTGTGCTTGAACTCTTGACTGCCGCGCAGAATGCTGGGATTATTCCTGCTTAGATACTGACATTTATTCTTAGCCTTCGTCCGGTCAACGCTACCGATGTTGACTTTTCCTTAACGCTTACGCGTTAAAATTACCCATGTCTGTTCTCGCTGTTCCTGGGTAATATAAACTACCAATCCTCTGCGACACATACCCGCATATCTGTGGCACATACCCACCCGCGGGCAGATGCCCGCCCACAGGTATGTGCCATACGTGTGGCGGAGACGGTTGGACGACATACGCGGTGGTATTGTGACTACATTCATTTCATGACTTACCTGACCCTGATGAAGCGGAATTCCGAGAACGCCGATCTCCCGTTGAGCGTTCGTCGAATACGAAGCAAGAGGCGACCTCCGGCAGCCGGACCTAGCAGCACGCCAGGTGCGGGCCGCGTCTTTGACGATGTTACGCGATGCAACTTGTCCCATCGTGGTGGAGCTGCTGTTCCGCCTCTTAGACCCAGGAATATAGCGAGTACGGTGATAAAGAACCAGTGGTCGTTATGATACGACCGCGCGAGAGGAAAAGCGTTGCACCTAAATCCAAGACAAGGCACAGACGAAGTCCATGGGTGTGCAAGTACCCAAAACAACGCTATATACTTCGTGCTCGCGAGACTGAGCTGCACTTACGACCTTACTAGCAGAGACTCTTTCACGCAGCCTCGGCTCAGCTCATAAACGCATACCGTTGCCACTTGAAACGTCAACTTCAATGTTGCAACCTGGAAGGTCAACTTCAATGCTGCACGCCGAAAAGTATCTCGAGGTTGCAGCGAGCGATGAACTTGTCTCGGTTACACGGGACGAAGTGAAGCGTTGCGATGCCGTATCCTTGTCCTTGACTTCGATGAAACGGTACGGATAAGCCTTACCGGTCTTTCGCGTTCGATGACGTCGTAGAATCAGGGGTGAAGTCCGATCCCCGGTACCGCATTGAAAGTACCTCGGGTTCAAGTGGATTGCAGCTGTAGCACACACTGTTTAAGTGACTGAAAACGACGTCGCACTTCAGGGATCGAGAGTGCACGTCATAGACAAACTGAGCTACTGCCCTGGCTCTTGTAACCAATCCACAATCACGATTAATGCTTTGAAGATCTGTAGCCACGGGTTTCCTCTTGACTGGTTTAAACCTTTAGTGGTCTTTGTCGGACTGATGACTCGCTGCTGCACTTTTGAAGATTGCTGACTTCAGCTTCTATCTAAATCTCACGATGACGAGACCCCTTCTGAAGATGTCCTTATGTATCCATCGTTGCCCTCCAAGCTGTAAGTGCCTAGATTAATCGCTGATAAGGTGTTGAAGTTTGTAAACGCCTCACTTGACCGTGCGCACAGCCCTACAGTTTTCTCGGCACGCTGTCCAACGTTTCCCAGGATGCTTGCTTTACTGCGACCAGCTGTCGGCGCACGTCGTAAAAGGCGTCCAGATTCCGAACCTCTTCTCTCATAAAGGGAGCGTTACGGAATGAGCTCTTTGATATGAGCTTTTTTTTTGTGTGGCCAGAATGGTAGATAACGAGAGCCGGCGCGTCGGACAAGGCGTGGCGAGAGAGAAGATATGGAAAGACAAAAGAGGGATTCCGCAGCTTATCGAGGACGGAGACGACCATCGTCGAGATATCCCGTTATCTATTGTTTCTCACACCCTTTATTTTTCACGACAGCATTCGTCAGCGTCGTGTAGAGTAGACTGGCGAGAATCTCAGTCCCTGCATCTTGCGATTATCATTTCAATGCCTCTGATGGTGAGAGTCACTCCATTCTTTCGGTTGCGTGCTGTGGTACGAGACTTCGTGAGGGGAGCAAGGGATATACGCCGCGATTGGCTTGATGCACTCCTTTGACTTGCTGATTGATAGAAGCCATTTCATACCTTGATTATTGACTGGTTTAATAGTGAATAAGTGAGGATCACGATTGGTTGGGTGACTATAAAATAAAGATGAACTGGCGAACGAGTGTGAGTGATATACAGTGTGGGGTCTCGGCGAGGCGAACGCGCGCACCGCCACGCCACGCTCTCGGAGTGAACGGACACAGTGGACACGATCGGTACCAAGCACACAACATACATACATTTATTAACTAATTTAGACGACGATATCGTCCGCCGAATGATACACCAATTTCAACTAACACGCTACCATACAAACAACATAACGCAGGGACACACTAAACACAGAATAACATGATAAACACACACTAACACACCCAACACACTAGCACATACCCAAGGCGGCGTCGCCAACGCCTGACCTTACACGCGGGACCCCCGGCGCGAAGCCCGCGGTGCCGAGCACCGGGGACCCGCGCTACAGACAACCGTTCGCGGCAGCCGCCACGCGCAGAAGAGGCTCGCTCAACGCTCGCCCACCACCAAGGCCCGCCTTCAGCCAGGGGCCACCACCGGCGCTGCCACCCTACCAACAGTGGTACTCAGAGCGAACACAACGCCATCTATCGCCCGGTGGTGGTCACCACCGAAATAACGCCCTGGGGCGAGACACGTGCGCCACGCGGCGCAGACAACTTTACAGGGGGGGTGTCAGCACCCCCACAACAGACACGTTGCGTCGAAACGACATAGAGTGAGGAAGTTATGGCCAAACGAATACGTTCTTGTGACAATGATTGATTTATTGATTCATTTGAACCGCAAAATAAAGTTTTACTGCCTGGTGACACTGATCTTTTTATATTTCCGGCGGCATCTTTGCCGTCATTGTAGCTTGCCCCAATAATCATCATTTCATTTGAGTTGAGCCCGTTTATTCATTCCTTGTCTTGACGTCGTCAATGTCAGGTCGTCAATGTCAGCGAAGCCGGACGTCGTCCGTAGGTTTTGTATAATTTTACTGGCAGGTAACGCAGCTCGGGTCGGTGACATTGGGGTCGTTCTCAAGGGGCAGGTTGCCGCCGCGTTGGCTGCCGAAAAATGAGTCGATGAGCCTCACTCCGCAGTCGATGGTGTTTCTGGCGTCTTGCTCGCTTCCAAGCTCAGGATTGACTTCGGCCAGGTCAAGCACCCTCAGCTGACCTGCGACATTTTCATGCACAAACTGAACAAGTGGTGGAGGAATTGACAGAGCAAACATGAGGCGAAAGACACCATGGAGAGGCACTGACTACCAAGTGATTATTTATTGGCATATATACAAGCGATAAAAATAATGATCCATTATGAGGGGAGGTTGTCTCGAATTTCTATTAATTAGGTGACATCAAATATCTGAATTTTCTACAGCTAGCAGTCCTAGGCACGGCACGCTTGCACACTACAAGCACAAGTATACAATATTTAAACCGATAAATAAGCCGATGCCTGTCAAGATTACTGTTTTATTTAAAGGAGAGCAGATAGAACAGGTAACAACGCAAAAGTTTTTGGGGGTATGGTTTCAAGAAAACCTCTCTTGGGACAATCATTAATAAACTCAGCAGCGACCTCAGTAAAGTAGTAGGCTCTATGTATAAAATTAGTAGTCTTATATCACTAACACTAAAGAAGGCAATGTACTACGCCCTCTTTCACTCAAAACTTAGCTATTGTGCATTAATACGGGGAAGAACAACTGCAAAAAATTGCAGCGAATAATAAACATGCAAAAAAGGGCAATGCGAATTTTCGAAAACTATTACGGTAGACCGCGAGATTTACCCACACACAATCGTTTTGAGAAACACTCGTTAATCAGAGCAACTTCAAATCTACTAGTATAGATTACTTTTGCACATAAAAAAGCACAGGCTCCATGTTAGTAGCCTGCCCGTTTCTCCCCCTCGATATCAATTACGCCACCAAACGAGAATGCCACCACTTATGCGAACTAACTACGGGCGTCAGGACCTTGAGTATCAAGTACCCCGGCTATTGAACATTGTTGAACATCATATAGATTTTCATGCACCCCGCTTTAAAAAAATTTATAAAGAACTTTCTGTTACATTCCACGATAACTTATCAGTAAAATATATCTGTCTAATTTATTACGTGTACCGCATATACAGTTTGTGCTACAATTTGAAAATTCACAATTTAATGTGTATAGGTATATATTCTTGGAGTGTCTGTATGATATGTTTATTTTCATGAAGAGTTTTCATGTATGATGTCTACGTGTAATGCTTTATTTGCAGTGACAATTATGTACATGCATGTTTTGATTTTTCTGGTTGCTCTATTGTTTGTATACTCGCATCGCATGCAAACATGTACACGCATGCCGAATGCGCATGGGAGTAGGAGCCTCTGTCAGGCAATACGGCCTTTAGCTCTTACTCCTCTTTCTGTATCAGAAAGAAATAAAATAAACTTCAAACTTCAAGCTTCAAATTTCTCGCCCTTTTGGCCGCCTTTGGTATGCTTTTCAAAAACAGAGGTGAGCACTGACGCCAATGAAGCTGCGCCTCCCACGGAACCATATTACTGATCTACGAATACAGCTAGTAAAGCAAACCAAAAGAAAATGTGGTCCAGAAACTTCTATCTAAACTCAGTCCCACTACTTCGACGCATAATGCGCAACTCCATCTTAGAGCACTGGCAGAAACCAGAACATCAGCACAAGCGGCTGACCAAATGGGACCCGGAAATGAAGTTCCGTATGTCTCACAAGTTAAAGCGAAGCATCTCATGCATTATCCACCGCATTCGCCTCGGTGTGGCTTACACGAGACGTTACACCCGCTTGATTGGCTGTAATGACACAGGTCCCCAATTCGGGTCACTGTCGGTTGCCAGAAACGCTCGAACATATATTTTGCGACTGTCCAGCATATGCAAGCGAACGTCAGCAACTGATATCTTCGATTGGCCGATATATTAGTCGACCATTAACCGATGAGGTTGTGTTAGGTCCTTGGCCTGACGCCAGCAGCACACATGTGGTTATACGAGCCGTCATCGCTTTCTTAGACGCCACTGGACTGGATGCACGCCTGTAGAGTTACCAATAAGAAGATATAATCTCTCTACCTTACCATCGTCATTCATCACTCTTCCACTCCCCAGTCACCCTTCCCCAGTGTAGAGTAGCAGGCCAGAGCAAACTATAGCTCAGGCCAACCTCTCTACCTTTCTGTAAATAAATTCTCTCTCTCTCAGTCCCACCACGACCGCTTCAAAGCAACAAATGTCGTGAGGGACGTAGTCTAGGGCTACGCTTTCGTGTGATAAGATACCAGGGCCAATGATATCTTAGAAGACCCCTCAAGGACCTCGAGTTCTAGATTTACTTCTGATCTTGCAGCTGCGCTCGAGTTCACAACGAAACCACACGAAAACTTTAAAATGCGAATGCATTTCTTAGTCGGGCTATGTCAGGCATTCAGGGGGGGGGGGGGGGGGGCGTGCCGGCAGGTTTTATCTCTTCGCATACACTCCATCTCCCAAGTTGCGGGCGCGCGAGCTTATCCTTGCCCCTAGCAGCTGGAACATGTGGTGTGAGAGTGTAGGAGAGGGTAGGCGCAGTGCTTCACCGCTCCTTCACTCGCCATTCGCACTCTCTCCTCCCTGCGCCCCACTCTCCCGTACCACTCGCGCATCACTCTCGACCGTTCGCTGGCTGGGCGCCTCTCAAGAACATCCGGAAATGTGTGCTGGAGGACCACCACATAGGCTGGAGACACCACTGTGAAACGCCAACGCAGAGCGCAAAATGCTGGCGCCCCACTATCCCGTTCGCTGGCTGGGCCCCTCTCAAGGCCAGCGCCTCCTCTATAAAATAAAGGTGTCAAGGCGATGGCAGAAGTCGGTGAAAGAGAATCTGACGGCAACGGTGCCCTCTCTCGGCGCAAAAAAAAATACATTCGCATTTCCTCACGATTCCCTTCGGAAAGGTGGCGGCATTTTTTTTTTAATTGTGGCGTAATGGTGGAGTTAAACGCGTTTGATGGTAGAAACGCGACCCTCGCTCATTTCGCATTTTCCCTCGCTACGCTCCGTTCCGCGGCTCGTCTCAGCTCCTGGAAGAGTGTTTTTCCTCGCCCTACGAGAGAAAAAGCAGGGAGCGCGGGAAACAAACAGGTCGTTGCTGCGCGTAACGGAATTAGATACCCCTGGTGACGTCGACACCTATGCTGGGCAGTGGGGATACCGAAAGGCCCGGAGAGAAATATGGGATTCTTTTTTTTAAAGTGTGAATACACTTTATAAGCGACCCCAAACCATCCACCGCCGTCGGCGGCGTCCGCAGTCTTCTCTCTATCTTTAAAAGAAAGAGGACTTGGCGGGCCGCAGCGCGACGCTCTACCGAATAAGCCACGGACGTGACGCTGATATCGGTGTCGCTCCTCCGCTCTCCTCGCTCGCTGTAGCTGCGCGCGCACCCCTCTCTCTCGCGCGCCCGCCTTCTCTCTCAGTCTCCCGTCGAGAGCGGGTCGTGAGGGGGAGTAAAGTTAAAATCCGTTGGCATTCGCCAGTGAGTTAACGTAAACTCCCCCGTGTGATCAAATTGCGATTCCCAGGAACCATTACACCATAAAGGCACCATAGTGTGATTAATAAATATAATAGTGCGAATTAATAAATACCCCTCATAGCATCACCCCGCGTATTCGCACTTAACCATGTTCACCCTCGGGGAAATGCTTGGGAGTTTTTCTTTTCACGCGTGTATGGCTCTGTTGATAGCGATGACACTCAGAACTCGATGCGCGTGATCCCGGTTAATGGTAGGTGACATGTTCGAGTGCTTCATCAGGCCGAAGACTCTATAAAGATTTTATTGAGTTTTTTTAGTTATTTGTTCAATGGGGTATCTCTCGACGTTCGCCTGAACACCATCTATCTTCTAATTGGCGCATCTCTTCCTTCTTTACCCACTATTCTTTTCATAATTACCAAATGTTTTCACGGCTCCTTGCAGTCACCTTTTCCCCTTTTCGCCTACCCTGAAAGCCGAGAAGCGTTCTGGATTAGTTTTACGTCAAGCCATCTGTCATCACGATCATGAGCATCACCAATAAATCGACTGCTTTCATTTTTGTCGGAACAGAATTACGCCGATGGGTGATGGGAACCCGTATTCTACAGGAATTCCAGTGGTACAAGTACTTCATTAACGCGATAGCGTTAAAGAGCTTGTTTAACAGAAATACCGGCGTCGGCGTCATTGGTTATCAGAGGAAATCAGCGTTGTCTGTGAGAGAGACATCGAGAAAGATGGAATTTAATAAATAAAAATAATCAATCAAAGTGTGAGTCGAACCCGGACCTTGTAAGCACCAAGCAGGCGTTCTACTATGATGCCACGCCAGTGCTTTGTACTGCTTCGTTAAAAAAAATAAAGTAATAAAAATGGCAAGTAGTGGTAGAAGACTTCTTAACACATGTAATATAGCGAAAATATATAATCGCCCTAACCATTTAAACATGAAATTGCACAAGAAGCGAGTGGTTTAAAGTTTTTCACCGTTTACAAAAGCGCAGGTGAACCTGGTTCTCTGAGAATGAATAATGAGTACTTCACTAGTTCGCAAAAGGAGTAATCACGGCGTAGTGGCAACTGTACTTCGCAACTGTACTTAGAGTAGACACCTTATGGGATATTTCGAAATGGCCGAGTTTACGCTGCCAAACGTTCTTTTTTTTTTTTTTTGCGGTACGGGTGAAGGTGATGCTCACGGAGGCACATTACGCTATCGCCCTCTGTAGCCTTGCAGACGAAGCTGAAAAGTCGCCCAATCATATAGCGTCATCCTGGACGCTCTCGTTCAAAGTTGCCGCGGAGGCCATGTGCGGCAAAGCCAAAGCTACTAAGTGTACAGGCACCCTGGTATACTGAACTTGGACGACTTACCAGACTTGCTCACTTCCTCCGCGATGACCAAGGCTTCCCGGAGAGAGAGTCCTCCTAAAACTGTAAGCGGCAGGTAGGTAAAGTACCGAATAAGTCATCCCCAGTTTTCATTGAGGGGGGATCACGTGCAGGTAAGATAGTAAAAAAAATTAAAGATGAAAAAAAAACGATTAACGACATCCAGAAACTCGTTTTCATGTTTGTCCTCGCGTTTACGCTCCACCTCCTAGAATTGCAGTTTGATACCTCCGAAGAAAATGAACGCCGTCTACGGCAGTATACAAACAAGTGCATCACTAATATCGCTATTGCACCTGTGCATTGCTGTAAGGCCGGTTTATCGGCCATGATTGCGTGCATGTTTCTCTCGTAGCAGAGTCGCCTTTTGAAACGGCTGACACGTAAATGACACGTCAGTAATCTCGGATTCTTGCTTCATGACTACTACCCCTTAAGGATGCAGCGTCCCGCTCCACTGCTTTTCTTGGTTGTCAAATTGTTTAGCTGAAGGAGCGTAGTTGTTTCTTAAGTGCTCAAGGTTCAGTCTATAATTTCTGTCGTTAATACTAGCATGGGCAGTAATCAATACTATACGTCCCAGCACCAAACAGCCACAACGCCGAACCCGAACACGCCCTACACTGATACTGTTCTCACGGCCAATTGCTGCACGCTCTACACGCAAACAATGTCGTAACGAACACAGGTATAACGAAATATCGGCTATAACGAAGTAAACGAAAAATTGTCTTGCAACAGGTATAGTGTTATCAATAACCTTTGTTACAAATTTTCGGATATAACGAACTCATTTTCTTGTATTGTGCAACTTTGGTATGCGAGATTTGAGTGTACTACTACTGACGTTAGTGTCACCACTATAATTATCAGCCCACTACGACAATCAGCCCTACTCTTACTCCAGGTAGACTGGGAAATATTCGTCGTAACTGGTAAGAATGCTCACCGGGTGTCCCTGTGCTCGGCGCGATCATCCTGTCGATGGAGTCGATGTCATAGCTGATGTGCAAGGACTTCTCTCCCCTGTGACGAAACGAAGAAAAATAACTAGAAGGCTTCAGCCACCGGACTTGTGAAAATCACACACACCAAACTGTTGGAGCTTAGATGAGTGAAACAGATGACTGAATTCTTTAAACTATATTACAGTGACTACCCATTCCTAGCCCATCTATATATCTATCGCAGTTATCAACCAGAACCGCATGTCATCGTAGACGTGATCCCTACACACCTTACTTAGCGAGAAAGAAGTACACTTTTTCACTATACCTTAACCAAAGGGAATAGCATAATTGAATTCATATCGTAATGTTGTGATATTAGTGTTATGTTTTACTCTACCAAGCTTATTTTCACTTTTTGTACTATCTGTTGCCATCCCAGCTTGGCCTGCTTGGTCCATGTGTCTGCGCAGTGTTCCATAAGTAAAATCAACAAAGTCTAATGATAAAGCGTTCCTGTGGTCCCTGCTACATTGCGAAAGTTATGGCGTGTAACAATTACAAAGTAGTGATTTTTGAGACGAAGTATGTTGTAACCCTCGAGCATTTAATTGTTATAGGAGTTCACTTGAGCACTATATATACGAATGCTTAAAGTTCACAAAACAAAGCAAGACGCAAATTCACCCTTTTGAAGAAGCCACAGCCGTGGCCATGTGAGGCCCACGGGATGGCTTTACGCTCTCACATTGTAGACTACCCAGTACTCTAAATCGTTAACAACGTTTTCTAAACACGCGTTACGAAATTTTTGTTTTTTTTTGTACCACAATAAACTTCTTCTGTAGGTGGTGACCTACGTTGGGTTAATCTCCTTCAGTATCCTCTGCGCCACATCCCGGATCCCCAGGCGGTCAATGTCGGCCATGTCGTACGTCCTGATGCCCAGGTGGTTCATGAAGTACCTGCACATGCCGTCGGCCGCGGACAGTTTAAATCGGCGATTGCAGTGTGTCCACGATGAGGTTCGAAGGCTCCCAGGGTCACTCAATCGACGCAGGAACGAAAGCAGGGAAATTTATCAAGAGCTCACATTTCTTCGTTAGGTAAAATCTTAATGACTGCCAGTTGGGCATGTTGGTAAAGGTAAAATCTTAATGAAAGCTAACAGACTGTGAAGCCGCCCCGCCGCGGTGGTCTAGTGGCTAAGGTACTCGGCTGCTGACCCGCAGGTCGGGGGATCGAATCCCGGCTGCGGCGACTGCATTTCCGATGGAGGCGGAAGTGCTGTAGGCCCATGTGTTCAGATTTGGGTGCACGTTGAAAAACCCCAGGTGGTCGAAATTTCTGGAGCCCTTCACTACGGCGTCTCTCATAATCATAGGGTGGTTTTGGACGTTGAACTCCACATATCAATCAATCAACATGTAACCCAAAACACAATGGCTGCCAAGACATAAGGATGTGTGTCCGCCCTTGAGATTTTTATGGATGTAGGTCACTGCATCCGGTGCTAGTATTTTATGGGACGAGCAGTTAGAAGAAAGAGAATATGTTCTGCCCCTGGCACGTGAGATGTGTATATATATTCGCCTGCTCTAGCTTCCCGGGGAAACGCTTCATCCGCACGTTTACTTTGTCTTAGATCGTGCGGAACGCTGCCAGAACGCGACCAAGGCCGAAACGACGACGTGACGTCACTTACCGCTCATAAGGGTCCACGTCCCTCAAACCAATGTAAGCCAGGTTGTCCTTGTAGACGCTGAAAACGTAAGCATAGTTTGTAAGGCACGTTGGAATGTTGCCATATGAAGCACATAGAAAGACCTTATTTCCAGTCATCTGTATCAGGGTAGAAGCGGAACCTGCATCGCGATACCATTTAGAATAACAAATGCTCATTAATCCCCCTTCTATCTATTAGCGAGAGCCTCTCCTAGTATTCGCAACAAATGAAATGCTACAGTATACGCAAGCGCAAACGAGCAACATGGCTGAAAGAACCGGCGATGGCTACAGCGTGGTTTGTCCCAAACTCACGTCTACTTTGAGATCTGCCCCTCAAGAATTCGCTTGATGTGCACGCTCCTGCAGTGACTCTAAGGCCATGGAGAGATTTCAATTATGACTGATTGTGACTGCAAGCTAAGAAGAGAGCCTTGCATGCCTCATCAAAGGCCAGAACCGACCGTCCGTATCAACACGAGCGATAAAAAAAAATCTTGCGATGACGTCATCACACACCACCATGACGTCATACATTGCCGTAATTTGTGACGTCATCACGATGTGACACAACGTACCCCCTCACTGCGTCATCACGTGACATCATCGCTTACTGGGACGATCTGAGAGGCAATGAGCACCAAGATGCACGGAAATCTTTCTGAGACGAGGGGGGAAAGAAGGATTGGTACACTGACTGAGCATTGATATTAATAAGGTGGTTCGCATTCGAGTCATTTTAGGCGAAAGCACAGGCTACTCTTGTTCTTATTTTACGTGTTCTGCGCTTCATCATCGGTGTCTTCATCATCATTGGTGTTCTCTTTTTTCCTCTTTAACTCATATTTTCTATTATATGCAATTTATTGATATTGACATACGTATAATAGGAGGTCCCTGTGACAGTTGTTTAACACCGGGACATCCTTTTGAACTAATGATGAATAAAGAATCGAAAAAAAAAGTATTGAATTGTTCAACTTCACCGTATTGGTGGTTTCCTCCTTGCGGCGAAAGTAAACCCGTAGTGGTGGTAGAAAACATTAACCTATTTACAGTGAGAGATAGCGATGGGGTCATAGAGATTCCTGAAATTATCTAGAGAGGACTCTGGCGCTGCAATCGTTCAGCCACCATGGGAATGATGGGCAGTACATGGATTTGCCTACGTGCACCTGCGGCTTCAAACGCACTTCAGACTTCTTTATTGCTGCGTTTTTATACTGTTCCGAATAAAAGAACGAATCGTTGCGAGCTTCGTGACCCGATTTGAACTGGTGAGCCGAAAAGGTCAAGGCGGTAAACTACAACTGGTGAACGTTTGCTCGATAATCGTCTCGCGAAAAAGTGGCTCCAGACCACGCGAAGTCAGACGGGACTGAGATAGACAAATCTTTGTAGTGCCCATCATTCCCATGGTGACTGAAGCGCCGTGCGTTGCAGCTCCCATAAACGCTATAACGCCAGAGTGTCCTCTGGTGTATTCACAGAGAACTCTATGGATGGGGCCATGGCCTCCGAGATGATGGGCGCCGCGCTGCGCGCTCGCCATCTCGGAGGCCATGATTGAGCGTGTGGGAAGGGCCCGCCCTTCACAAACACTATAAGGTATCCCGGTAGCTGCCGTGGCAGCCCGGGCTATAGCCACCAATGCCTGTTGGGCATGGAAGTCGGCGGGCATTGAAGTAACTTGATCTCTTATTATAGTTACAGTATTAAAGAGGGCGCATGCTACAATTTAACGTCCGTCGCCTCAACAAATTTGGACTGTTTCACCATGTCTTACAAAACAACTTTTCTTTACAGCAGTTGTCTTACATGGCGCGCCGAAGACGCCACATTTTTGAAGCGTTTGCAAGTACAAGCGCCTCAATGAAAGACCTCCAGAATTCTCCGCAACACCTCCGACGGCTTCATTCCGAGCGCTGATGTCGATGGACTATGACGGAAGCGTCAAAAGCGAACGCGGCCGACCCGATGCATGTCGTGGTCGAACTGCCATCGTTAGTCGAGGTCGAAGTGGGACCGGTAGTCGTGTTCCAGGACGTGCTCCAAGACTCGCTCGCCGATCTGGTCTGGAGCGGCAACTCTAACGTCGCGCTCCAAGTCTCGGTCCGAGTCGTGCTCCAAGACGCCGCCGAAGTTCCGGTCGGGTTCTCAGCGGAGGTCACCTCGGCAGGAGCGCTCGAACTCACGTTTGATGTCGTGCTCGAAGTCGCGTTCGAAGTCGTGTATGAAGTCGTGTACGAAGTCGTGTACGACGTCGTGTGCGTAGTCGTGTGCGATGTAGTGTTAGAAGTCACATTGGAAGTCTTGTTGCATTGACCGCTCCCGTTACTGCTCAAAACAGCGACCACGTTTGGGCATGTGGAGACCTGGTTCGCGCTTGAATCCACGTTCACAACTGTACTGCAAGCATCGTTGGAAGCGTTTGCCGGAGTACCTCCGCTGGCCACCGTCGAAGTTAAGGTACTCGTCGGAGTCGCAGTTGTAGTCGAAGATGAAGCCACCGTCGGAAGATCTGTCGTTGATGACATTGCTTCCTCGCTGGCGGTCTCAACGGCAGGCGCAGTTCTGTTGAAGACCAGCACCACACATGATTCGGCGCTTACACGGTTCAGTAGATGCACACATGCTGTACCTTACTTTGGAAAATCCCGCTACCGCATGCTACTTCGGCCAAAATCAAGCTGCAGTGTCTTCAATGGTAACAGTGAGGCGTAGTACACTCACATGGAACGCTTCAGGCATGCAGACTTGATGATTAATGATGATGATGACAACTAAGAAAAAGAAGATCCCCGAGTGATTGGCCGAGGATGGGTCTAGAGTCAAGTGGGTCATATGGTCTGAAGTTATTTTCAAAATCCCACTATTGGTTACAGCGTCGTCTAGAAAGAAGTGACATTGCTAGAAACGTGACACGTACTCGCAGGACATGCCGAAGAAAGTACAGCAAAAATTTCAAATAAATTTCTAAAGAGAGCAGCCAAATCTGTAGAAATTAAGGGCGACTTTCAACAAAACGTAGGAGGAAAGTTGTATTATAATATATAACGCACGACAGGTCATGAATGAGAATTACGAATTGGTGAAATATTTTGTGGCTTGTGGGAACTCAGCGTCTTTCTCCAATGGCTTCGAATCTTCGAAGCTTGGAGCTTCGAACGCCCTTCTAGCTTCGCTTACTGATATGCTTTGCCGTTTGTTTCGGATAAAAGAATGGGTCGTTCAGAGCTTTCTCACCAGGTTTGCTTTACTGATACTGAAAGGTTAAGGTAATGTAGTGGAATCGCTGCACGTTTGCTGAACTTCGTCTCGAGACAAAGTGAAAATAGGCCATACGAAGCCAAACGCAGTGGAAAGAACGAAGTTTAGACGAACTCGTGTACTACCTACCATTATCATGCTGGCTGTAGTGCCATGCATTGCAACTGTCATAGACACTAGCGCCAGATTTTCCCCTGTAGCGCAACTACGGGAAACACCAAGGTTTCAAAAGCAACTTTCGCAATTTTAGTTATACCATATGAATTAAGTTTTTGTTATTTATGTGGCATATGTTACTTTGGACCTTGTCAGTTTATTTTACCATGGTTTTGAGCATTCTTAGCCTTGTTTACGTTTGTATATTTATCCCTACGCAACCACGCAATGCAAGAAACCATTGTATAAATTAATTAGTTTTACAATTAATATGTGATCCCCTCTCACCTGACTAATTATTCGCGTCTTTGCAAATCCCCAGAGGGTGTGAGCCATACCTTTACATCATCATCATAACCACCACCACCACCACCACCACCACCACCACCACCACCACCACCACCATCATCATCATCATCATCATCATCATCATCATCATCATCATCATCATCATCATCATCATCATCAGTGGCTGGATGAGCAGCCGGGACGAGCAGCCCTGGACTGCTATGCACTTGAAACGCCGTACATGTCGCGGGATCGAATCCCGGCTGCAGCGGCTGCGTTTCCGATGGAGGCGAAAAGGCTGTAAGCCCGTGTGCTCAGATTTGGGCACACGTTAAAGAACCCCAGGTGGTCGAAATATCTGAATCCCTCCACTACGGAGTCTCTCATAATCATATGGTGGTTTTGGGACGTTAAACTCCACATATCAATAAATCAAATTGAAACGCCGTAATACGGAAAGATGGGCTAGTTGCGCTAGTGCTTCTGTTCCTTTCGTCTGTGTCCGCGTGTGTGCGCTCTAAAGCTTCAGTATGCACTTGAAACGTTGTAAAACCTTATTTAAACTAAAACAGTGAACGTATTATACACACATCAACATATTTTTCTAGCTTTTTTTTTTCACACTGCTGTTACCTCCTCTTTATCATGTTGGTTAATGGGGAAAAGCGGTAATATGTCTGAAGGGGCGTCACCGGGGTGGGGGTGGGGGGTGGAATATTGCTTCTTATACCAAACCCGTGCACCCCCCCTCCAAATTTTGTTCGCTCGCCATATCACGATGAGTGAAAAATTACCAAAATTACCATTTCAAAGAGGTGCCACCCCCACCTCCCTCCGAAACCAAAAAGGTGCCTAACTACCCCCCCCCCCCCCCCCCCAGCAAATAAAAATTCTCGCTACATCTCTGCATGCCTGCCACTCGAGTCTTCGCGTTTCGTCAAAGACACTCAAGCGCGAAGAGCGATACTACACATAATGGAAGCTGTGTTGCAAATTTCGCTGCGTCTTGTCATCGAAAGATTACACTCACTTCGCCCGGGCAAGACGGCATTGCAATCGCCTGTCCTCTCAACAGCATTGATAAGAATAGCGTCAACATAACGGATCAATGCTTGGAGGAAAGCAGCCAGACAAGAAGACGAGACAGGGATTGCTCGAAAAAAAAAGTGCCGCAATGTTTGCGAAGGCGACGTGCTACATACACAAGAAAAGTGATGTATTCAGCCCCGCCGCGGTGGTGCAGTGGCTAGGGTACTCGGCTGCTGACCCGTAGGTCGCGGGATCGAATCCCGGCTGCGGCGTCTGCACTTCCGATGGAGGCGGAAATGTTGTAGGCCCATGTGCTCAGATTTGGGTGCATGTCAAAGAACCCCAGGTGGTCGAAATTTTCGGAGCCCTCCACTAGGGCGTCTCTCATAATCGTATGCTGGTTTTGGGACGTGAAACCCCACATAACAGTCAATCAATCGAAGCGATGTATTCATAACGTGATCTGCAATAAAATTTGACGAGACTTTGAGGCTTCTTATTGAAATAAACAAATTACACAGAAACACACGTTGCACAGTTTCTGTCCTAAACAATTCACATTCGGCAGTATCGTAATGGTCTGTGGTTTTTTGTATTTGTTATAAGCGCACGTTTCCTTGTGCCCATGGTAAGACGGCGCAGGTCCTGCTTCATTTGCATGACAGCACTTCCGCTGTAGCCCACATATTTAAGGCTTCCTAGCTCGATCCCGCGTCATGAATGAGTTCACGAATAGTAGCGACGCAGAGTGTGCATTGTGCGAGTTGGTCCTGCAATTCGCGTGTGTTCAGAGAAATTTCTTATCCCAGACGGTGGATCATTTCAAGATATATTTTCTAGCTAGTTGTACATTTACAAGGATGACGAAACAAACTTCCTTCACATGGACCTAAAATATGAAATGAGGCGGAAGCAACATGTAGAAACGATTGATTGACCTTTTTAACCATGCGCAACCCACCATATGTGGTGTTCCGCACATGCACAGCCACAGTAGGAAAAAATCACAGCATATCCGCGGAGTGAATGATGTTGAGTGGGGCGAAGCGTCCATGAGTACATCCATGCTCCCATCCGTCCGTTCTTTCTTGCTTGCTTCCGTCCGTACGTGCATCCATACGTGCGTACGTGCGTCCGTCCACCCAGGCGTCCGTCCGTCTGTTGGTCTATCCATCTATTGAACACTCCAAGTACCACCATCTCGCATCTTTTCATCATATAAACGTACCGCCATCCAGCGGACATTTCAAGGACTAAATTAGAGGTGGCTATCTACTGCTACTACTACTACTACTACTACTACTACTTACAACTACTACTACCACAACTACTACCCCTACCACTACCACTACTACATACATCGGGTACACACCACCCACGGCTTAGGAACCTTCACCTCTAAAACAGTTGATGATTTTTAGAGCACTGTGCGCTAGAGTATAGGAATGTGTTAAGAACGAATGTTCGACGATTTAGTGTACGCCGTGCTCTATATACTATGGAAAAGCAGTCAGCTGTCCCAGCACACAAGGAATTCAGAAAGTTCTCGAATTGACCGTAATTGCATAATTTATAACACTGCACCACAAAAACAACCATTCACAAAGCGGAATAACTGTACTATACGCAGCCACCAATGTTACTCCGATTATTCTAGCAACCATAAACAAAAGCAGGTTTAAGCTCACCCGAAAAAACAGTGCACAGGTGTAGCACTGAAAAGACAATCAATATTGTCGTTGATTCTTTAATGTAAACTTTTTCGCAGTTTTTTTCATCTGCTGACCAACGTGACTGGAACCTGCATTACGTTCGTGTAGAACGGTGCCACGTTAGGTATTCTTTCAGTACTAAAAGTCACACGGTCCATTATGTATTCGAGTCAAGGAGGCTTGTAAAAAAACAAAAATGCTGGAGTGGAAGCTCCTGCAATAGTTTGCCAGCTGTAGTGAAGCCAGCTTTTGCCCTCCAAAGATCTCAGAAAGATGATATTTTCTGCTAGTGCCCACATGGATGGCAAGTGGATTTTGTTTGTTATTCGAAAGCCTACGTTAGTTATAAATTACAAGATAGTTGTTCCCGAAGAAATAACTCGCAGAGACTACCATCGACGAGGTAATCGCGATTAAAATTTGCCTTAAATTCGATGCTTACTAAACAAAACTTGCAACACAAGGAGGCACTTTGAGCACTTTCTGACCCGAAAAGATTGCCTTGCTAAACTCGTTGGGCGTGCGGGAAAAACGCTCCTTCTCAATCGCCGAATGCCAACAGCTAATCATGCCCCTAGTAAGATGGCTGCCACAGCCGCCATCTTACGGATGGCACAGCTTCACTCGTGGGCAAAGATCTCCCCTCCAGCAATTTTTTTAAACCTCCTTGATTCGAGTAAGACGGCTCGAAGGCAAATGCCATCCTCTTCCTCTCAGCCGATTCATCATCATCATCACCATCATCATCAGACTGAGTGCGTCCACTAGAAGACAAATGCCTCTCGTGTTTCGCCGATCAATCCGTTTCTATGCTTGCATGCGGCCAGGGTATCCCCGAAAACTCAATACCATTAGTCTGCCTAACTTCCTGTTTTGCCATCACACGCTCGACTTATCTTGAAATTCACTGTTACTCTGAAGACCAGCGGTTATCTTGCCCAACGCATGTCTTGCCTCGGTGCCACATGCCCTTGCTAACGCCCATTTTTTATGTTGAGTCCGACTAAGACGTACTTCGCGGCCGTTTATGGCTATGTCCCTGTGCTGTAGGTATTAAACCTATGATTTGATGAACGTTCCAGCATTGGAAAGCCTAGATGCGAGGCGTCGTACTTGCTTTAAATGTCGGCCTGTTCCGCCCATCTGTCCATCAATACACGCACATCACTCACTCACCACGGCTCCACCCATTCGAATCCCTTGGGCTTCACGACGTACGGCGCCATCTCGTGGACGAGAAAGGAGAGGGGCATGCCGTGCATGTTGCCTGTGTCGGGAAGAGAGAAAAGGAAGAGACACGGGAGATATAGCTGTCACTTCAGGTTTGCATGACGACGTAATGCGCAGCTGTAGACAGCGTCATCTTGTAATTGAATGTACTCAAAGCAAAAAAAAAAGGTCACAGTTTCACCGCAATGGCGAATAAATGAATGCGATAGCAAGAAATTGGCATGTCCCACCAAAAATGCCAAGGAGGTCGAAATGTCCACCGCGCTGGTCTACGCACAAATGACACACGAAATCAACACACGCAGGACGAGGGCGAACTAACAACGTTCCCAGTTGGACACTTTAAGCGCCCCTCAACCACCCAACAAAATATGAACAAGCGCATCATTCACACCATTTCCCGCCTTTGTGGCAGAACTTGGGACGCCAGCTGTTCAGGTGACGTAAGGACGAAAAAAGCTCTCGGTCGGTCGACATATGAGAGATATCTGTTGTAAATTATAGCCTGCCGTGCTCTGCCCTGCAGTCGCATGCCCACTCTGCCTTGTCTCGCATGATTATTGTGCGAGATATAAGTTGGTTTCACTGCGTTTTTGGCGTTTGCGACTGCGCAGGCCGAGATAGCAGCGTGGGGTCGAAATACGCGACATTCTTATGGGCTCAACACTTCCTGCTGGCACTCAACGTGCTTTCAGAAGGAATAAGTGGCGAGGAGGAGAGAGTGGAAGGGTAGCGAAGCTAGGCGAGAAAGAAACTACCGTATCACCTGAACACGAGGTGTTTTAGGGGCCCCCTTAACACACTGCATGCACAAACAAAAATGACACCCGAAACGTGCTCACAGGTACGCGCATAGGACGAGGCGTCGTCACAGTTGTTACTTCACGGTGTTTGAAAAGCGCACTCTTTTAGGCAGCGACCCAAGTAACATTCGTACGCTCGGTTACTACAACGGAATCGTTCTGGTGAAAGCCCAAGACGGGCCCGGAGTGCTGTCTTCTGGCTACGCCACTGCCGCAGTGCGATTTGCGACTTCCTGTGGGTGCGTCCCACTACGATCTACGACGGCCCCCGGACGCGAAACTCAGGAGTTAGAACAACTTCGCCGTTAGAAAAAAAAAAGCACCATGCCTGACGTAGAAGAGCTGGGCGTGTTGATGTCGCCGTGTGCGTCTATCCAGATGAGGGCCACCTCCGTGTCCACGGACTGCGCGTGTCCGATGACCGAGCCGATGGACATCGTGTGGTCTCCGCCCAGGTTCAACGAGACCCGGCCCGAGTCGAGCACCTCCGCCACCGCGTCGCGTACCTGTACCGAGAAGAGCTCACTGGCACTGGGTGAAAACTACCACGGCAACAACGGTGCAGTTACAGTAATATTCAGTAATGTCGAAAGTTGGGACGAGTTGGGGATAGTTCATGATTACTTATGAAGCAGCGCCCGAAGACAATCACAAAAGGAACGATAGGGACACCGCTGCAGCAGATAGGGACCGCAGTCAGTTACAGCCTAACAAATGAGTGGTTCTTGAAGAAGAGAAAAGGCGACCTAATTTCTTGATTGATTTGTGGGGTTTAACGTCCCGAAACCACCATATGATTATGAGGGACGCCGTAGTGGAGGGCTCCGGAAATTTCTCTACCTGGGGTTCTTTAACTTGCGCCCAAAATCTGAGCACATGGGCCTACAGCATTTCCTCCTCCATCGGAAATGCAGCCACCGCAGCCGGGATTTGAACCTGCGACCTGCGAGTCAGCAGCCGAGTACCTTAGCCACTAGACCACCGCGGCGGGGTGGACCTAATTTCTGTCTGCCTAATTAACGATACGGCGCAGTGCCTTGTAAAGGATAGGAGAAGGGGGATGAAAGTAATAGTAGAAGGAGAAAGTTAAGTAAGAAGGAGCACTCACCGCACTCATGTGAAGAAAGAGGAAAGGAGAGATAGTAAAGATGGAGGGCACGGTCGAAGAAGTCCGAGCACGGACACCATTCGGCGAGAGCTACATGGTGCCAGATCGCGGACGGCGAGCCGATTGGTGAGAGCTACGCTGGCGTCGGAGATCACGGGCGACACAATCGTTCAGCACGGAATTCGCAAGCGAGTCGGTTGCATCCTAAGAGTAAACACAAGCATCGCCCGCAAGACTTCGGTGCGCCTGTCAATCACGTATTTGCGAGAGTCACGAGCGATCGTTCCCTTTCTTTTCACGGATGTGTACTTTTTCTGCGCCACGCGCACCGAAAGCTAAAGGTTATTCTTTGTACCTAAAATATGATCTTTGGCTATAGGCAGTTAGGCCAGAGTCTTTGATGAAATTTGCTAGGACTGTAAAGTTTTTTTTTATATATAAAACGAACGATACGAGTAAGCGTCTCTGTGTGAACACCAACCATCAGAATTACGCGAAAACGAAAACTGTTTGACGTTCTAAAAACGTCGGTTTTGGTGCAACCCATCGGACTGGTATACGAAGTAAGGCTGGGATATTTTGAAACCATACGAAATATAGTGAACACGATCGAATGTGTGTTTAGATGCAGTGTTTCCAGCAAGCGCAGCAGCTTTCTGTGTCTGGGTACGTATGCGATGCCGCCTTGTTTCAGCACGACTAGCATTCCATTGGAGCTGTTTCAGAGGTGTTCGTTCAACACGTTGTGGCATCACAAAAGCCGAACTATACATGCAGTTTTTTCGCCAATCTTTGTCCGGTGTTTATTTCCGTGGCGTTAGTGTATACGCCAACGACGTTATAAAAAAAATTGCTGGAGTGGAAATTCTCGCCCACGAGTGAAGCCTGGCCAACCATAAGATGCGGCTGCGGCAGCCATCTTGCTAGAGACATGATGAGCTGTTGACTGCAGACGATTTAGAAGGAGTGCTCTCCTCGCACGCCCAGCGAGTTTAACGAGGCAACCTTTTAAGGTCACATAGTGCTCAAAGTGCGTCCTTGTGTTACTAGTTTTATTTAGCAAGCCTCGAAATTCAAGGCAAATTTCATCGGAGATTATGTCACCGATACTAGTCTCCATGGAATATTTTTTTTTCGGAAACAACTATTTTTTATTTGTAATTAACGTAGCCTTTGGAACAACAAATCAATGCCACTTGATCTCTAAGAGGACACCACCAGAAAATAGCATGTTTCTGAAATATTTAGAGGGCAAAAGCTGGTTTCACTACTGCTGGTGAAGCATTGCGGGAGCTTCCACTCCAGCAATTTTTTTAAACCTCCTTGGTCTACGCACGACTGGACTAGAGGAGCGCTTCGTGTCTAGTTCCCACCTTTCACCGCCGCTAGTTCATGGTACTGCGGCCCAACCAAGGAGGCTTAAAGATAAATTGCTGGAGTGGAAGTTCTCGCAATACCTTGCCAGCAAAAGTGAAGCCAGCTTTGGCCCTGCCAAGATGGCGGAAACATGCTCTTTTCTGGTTGTGCTCGCATAGAGATAAAGTGGCGTTGATATGTTAGTGTAATTGGTACGTTAATTCTCTGTTAAAATATTGTTGTTCCCAACGAAACAGCACACACAAAAATGAGTAGGGGTGAATGCATCTCCAATGAACACGACCTGCGATTAAAGTCTTACAAAAAAAAAACTAGTAACATTAAGACGCACTAGCAACACTTTGTTAGAAAAAGTTTCCGCATTTTACTCCGGGCATGCATGCAAGCAAAACTATTCGTTTTCTACTGCTACTTTAGCAGACACTAAAGTCAACTGTCAAGTCATGGTTGATTGTTGAAATGGCGGTTCAGAAAACTTGTAATGTTACTTTTGTACCAATGAAGGGCCTATCTTGAAAGAAAATCGCGTTTTAATGCTCCGCTTCGGGTTAGCGCACTTCGAATTACCCGCCTCAAGAAGCGGACCAACCGGACCGCCTCACGTCACTGTTGCCGTGCACAACGTTGTCAGACTTGACTGCGCTAGCAGCAGCAGACCGAAAGCAGTGAACAAAACGACGACACAGAAAGAAGAAGGACATGAAAGATAGCGCTCGTGTCTTTCGTGTCCTTCTTGTCTCTGTGTCGTCGTTTTGTTCTCGCGCTATAACTAGCGTCATGCCATACCAACTAGCCCAAGCTGCCACACTTCTAAATGCGAAAATTGAGTTTTTGAACCACTCGCGCCATTCGCAATAGTAACATATGGTGGTTCTTTTTTCCATGAATGAAACAGAAACGAACAAGTGGCATTTTATTGCGTCTTTTGATGCACAGAAGGTTCTTTATTTAGTGCAGTTAGATATATTACTAGTGATTAATTGTAGGCGGTCTGTCTGACGTCACCGGGATTATTTTGAAAATTCCCTGCGGTGGCGCGTGTCTTCTTGTGCATTTACCTTAATTTATCAGTAAGTAGGGCACTATTGTTGATAATAGTGTTGTTATAGATGTCATACATTGAGCTTTCACTCTGACATAAATTGTTATTTAACGTTAGTGTCCCTTTAAACGACACTAAGGGTCTCATCAAGTGCGAGGCTCGCGGGACGGCCTTATTCTTTCCCAAGGAGGTTTAAAAAAATTGCTGGAGTGGAAGCTCCCGCAATGCTTTGCCGGCAGTATTGAAGCCAGCTTTTGCCCTCCAAAGATCTCAGAAACATGCTATTATCTGGTGGTGCCCACTTAGAGATCAAGTGACTCAGATTTGTTGGTCTAAAGGCCACGTTAATTTCAAATGAAAAACAGTTGTTTCCGAAGAAATATTCCGCGGAGACTAGTACTGGTGACATAATCTCCGATGAAATTTGCCTTGAATATTGAGGCTTACTAAATAAAACTAGTAACACAAGGACGCACTTTGAGCACTATATGTGACCCTAAAAGGTTGCCCCGTTAAACTCGTTGGGCATGCGAGGAAAACGCTCCTTCTTAATCGCCGACCGTCAACAGCTCATCATGCCCCTAGTAAGATGGCTGCCGCGACCGCCATCTTACGGTTGGTACGGCTTCACTTGTGGGCAAGAATTTTCACTCCAGCAACTTTTTTATAACCTCTTGTTCTCTCCCATAGCAGAGTCATATGATAGAGTACCGTGCACTCTAAATCGTTGACAACCTTTTTCTAAACACACGCGGCATTGAGACGGCTTTATGATTTCGGATTCCCCATAGTAGAGTACCTATCTATCTATACAATGCAGTGTACTGTAATATACACGGATACATTTAGGCAGGGCTTCACTGGCGGAACATGGGAGATGCCTTTGCATTGCAGTGGGCATTGTTAGGTTGCTGCTACTGATGATGATGATGATGCTGTGGATGCTGCTGCTGCTGATGATGATGATGATGACATTCATACTTACTGCGTTGGCCTTTCTCGTTTAGGTACGTCGAGAGAACGCATTTGCACAGGCGATAATCCACCACAGTCTTCCTTTTAGGGGCGAAGCTCCTTAGGGCGTGGGCTGTGCGTCCCCTGTAGCCTGTATGTAGTCACCTCTAGTTTAGTTCTTGCAGTGTTCACTATATGGCGGTACGGTCCCCTGTATGTAGCCACCTCTAGTTTAGTTCTTGCAGTGTTCACTAGATGGCAGTACCGTCTCCTGTATGTAGCCACCTCTCGTTTAGTTCTTGTAGTGTTTACTAGATGGTGGTACTTGTAGCTGATGATGAAAAGATGCCAGATGTTATAAACTAGAAAGCGGTACTTGTAGTTGATGAAAGACGCGAGATCTTATAAAATAGGAATGATGTCACATATGACGCGTGTCATTGGTTGAAGGCAATCGTTCGATTTAGTGCGGCGACGTACGCTAGGGGGAGCGATGTAATAAAATCGAGTGGGCAAAATGTACAGAGGATTCATGGTTTACCAGGTTTACCTCCGGAGCTTCGCCCACTCATCATCATTCACTTCGTGGATATGGCGGAATTTTTTTTATAGCTTACGACTGTGGGTGGCTATATTATGGCGATACGTAGCTTTCGACGGGCGTCTTACGATACCACGTAGTCGTTGGCCTCATCGCGTTCTCTTTCTCAACGGGACTCCATTTGCAATGTCTTACGTTTTTGTTGGTCTTTCCAACGACGTCCGAGTTGCGCGCTCTGCAATCGGTGACGCCGGGGTCGCCCTCCACGCTGACATCGCCGAAGTCCTCGACCTCGTGACCTGTGACGTATACGTACGTGAAGCGTATGGGTAACACCAGGCAAACAGCGAGATTTGAAGCTATAGTTACGTTAGAAAGAACCTTTCTTCTATAGAGGGACTTCCTGTGTTACCCAGTGTTGTTTTGTGCATACATTTTGAAACTGTGCTCGGCTGTTGAAGGTGTACTGCACTAATTTTTGAAGCGCAGTCTACTTTGTTTTGCAGATCTCCCTGCAAATCTCTCGAGCAGTTATGACCTGATGAATATTGTTAAAAAACACTCATCATTTTTTACTATTCTTGTAGAGTATATGAAGAAAAGAAATGAGTGAAGTTTCATTTAAGGCATTAACATTACTTTGAATTAGAAAATAACAGATATAGCTTAATTAAATGCGTAACTCAGTGTAAATTCATTATAATACGTTAAATATGCAATAAGTGTTCCTCTATGAAGATTCGACAAGTATATTACTTTTTTCAGAAGCAGTATATTCGATGTATCAAATATGATACACGGGGCATTACAGGGCTAAAGTGGCTACACAGGCCCTCAACAACTCGTGGTTTTCAGTGAAAAGTAGAAGCAGAGCGTTTATCATGCCTATATGTAGTGCTACGAGAAGTAACAGACAATGATACCATAGAGGGTATACATATGCTGGATATTATCAGAAGTAACTGTAATGCAAATGTGAAGAAAAAAAAAACTTGCCACCGGCGGGGAGCGGCAGGAATTTGCATTTACATTTCACATCACATCACATTTGCATTACTATTACTTCTGATAATACCCACAATACGCCTATTGGCATCATTGTCTGTTAGTTCGCATTAATATTGCGTCTAACAAAGAAAAACAAGCCCTTAATGTGACACTGTTTTCCTTCAACTTCAACAGTTCATATATAGGTAAGCGAACTCGCTAATTAGTTGACTCCATCACCCCCACTCAAACTCAGATCAAGCCGTGAGTCTGAGCGAGTCCGGTTGGGGAAAACAAATTGACGAGTTTGAGTCCGAGTCAAGTTCGAGCCAGGGAAATTTTGGTGAGTCGTGAGTCCAAGTCAGTGCAAAGCGCACGGATATATTTCTTGAGTGAGTTTCAGCGAGTTCTACTTTATTTAGCCGACCTATACGAATCAGCTTCAGCATCACTATCAACCTTACCTTAATTAACGTTTATAATCACGTCTGTTTGCACGTGTTCCAAAGCAGTGTCGTTCGCACACTGTTTCAATATTTATTGATCAAAGGCGTGGATTGCATAACGGGGTATACCATGATGTCTATTCCGCCTCCGCCAACTCTTCCAGGAAAGTTCCTGACAAATATATTGTGAAATGATCTTTTCCACGAAAAAAAAAAACATGATCCGACTCATTTGCGACCACTCATATCTAGTATTTTAAACTCTAAGCATTTTTTTAGCGAACTTTGGCGACTTTGACCTCTTCTATCTATCTGGCCGCCTACGACTTTTAGCTCTCCCAGCCGTTTCGATAATGAAATCTATACCAAGGTTGGTATGGCATAATATGACTGTATGACGAGCGTAAGTGACTAGTCATAACATGAAAATCATGATGCGTGTCATTATTTACATGTCATGATCTTGCTGCTGTTGCGGTGGTTGAATTCACATGACAGATTGCAAAATCGGTATGGCATGACATGACTGCATGGCGAACACTAGTGACAGGCCCTAACGTGGAAATCATGACATGCATGTCGTGTAAGTCCTGACTATACGCCACGCTTATGGTGCGCTCGCGGTCGTTTCGATAACTTCACATATACCAAATTTCGTATTACGTGACGCGAAGGGACGACTAAGGTAAATGATACGTTCAAACATGATAACCATGACATGCGTGTCATGTAAAACATGACTACATGCTAGGCTCATAGTGCGCACGCGGCCGTTTCGCCAGCTTCAAATATAGCAAATTTGGTGTTACGTGACGTAATTGAATGACGAAGGTATGTGACTGGTGCAAACACGATAATAATAGAATGCGTGTCATGTAAGAAGATGACTATACATGCCATGCCTCTGATGTGTTCGAGGCTGTTTCGCCATAGCTTTACATAAGCCAAATTTGGTATTACGTGACGTGAATAGACGACGAACACAAATGCGAGGCGCAAACATGCCAAACATGACTTCCATGTCATGCATGCTAAAGCTTGATGTACACCTCAGTAGGCATCGAACGACAACATGAATTACAGGTCATAACAAGCGAATCACGACATGCATGTCATGTGCGGCATGATATGCATGTCACATCATAGTACGCTTGCGGCCGCGGTTCGCTAGCTTCATATATAGCTTGTAGTCGGCATCAAGCGACGTTACTGCATGTTGAACGTGAGTTACAGGTCCTATCATGAGAATCACGACATGCTTAGCATGCCACAAACTTGGTGCTTTCGCAGAGCCGCATCGTAAAATGCATTCAAGTCGGAATTTGTGTTGCGTGTCACGAGTGTTTCACTAACATTATGGTACCGGGGTCGTAACACGAAAACGGTGACATGCGCCGCATCATGTTCGCCATGACTGACATGACGAGAATCTCCTTCCCTCACGGCCGTTTCGCTGCATTCATTTCCGCCTATAGATTAGCGTGGCGCGACGTCAGAACGCACAAAAACATGAATGTCAGGGCATTACGTGCTTCTCATATCATAGATTCCCACTGTACGTGGATCTGAGAATTTGTTTTTTCGAATGTACTATATTACACGGCGTCAAGGTAACCGATTACGTGAGATATTGGTGTTAAAGAGCATTGATAACTTGGCGGAGAAAGCTGATTCCAGGCTAACGGACCCGTGAGTTGACTCACTCACAATGGCTCAGGCTCAGATCGAGCAGTGACTGTGAGTGAGTCCTGGTGAGTAATATAATTTGGTTAGCTTGAGAGTCCAAAGCACGGAATGCATTTCATGAGTGAGTTTGAGTGAGCTGTACAGGTACTGCCGACCCATGATTCAGAGTGACATCGTGCGGTTATATTACCTCCCCGCAGTAACTCGCTGTAGCAAAGCTGGTAGCGCACTCACCGAGTTCTCTGAGCTGTTCGAGGAGTCCAGCATCGCGAAGAAATTGTGGACCCTTTTCGACGCCTGGCTTGGGCTTTTTGGGCAATAGAAAGGGTGGGAGAGAAACAAATACAGGCAAGGAACATTATTTGAGGTAGGGTTTCTTCAAAATCACTTCTGGGAATGAATTCACAAAAACAAAATGTTTTTTTTTACAGACAGCTTAGTTTTTTTGTAAGGTTAGAAGATATACAGGACATTTTCATGATAGCATTGCATTGTATGAAATCATGAAATCTCTCCATTATTCTCACAGCAGCCGGTCACCGCGAATATGAGACGTTAAAGGCTTTTCACGGCGTAATTTTTGTCAACAGGGCCTCATCAAGCGCGAGGCCCACGGGACGACATTTTTTGCTCTCCCATAAAAGAGTACCTATTGTACTCCAAATCGTTACCCCCTTTTTCTAAACACTGATAACATTTCTTTTACTTGAAGACACCTGCATGTTACCACATTCTATGTTGTAGTAGAGATATTTCGTTACAGCATACGTTAAACTTTGCTATCAGGCAAAAAGGCAGCAGGCACGAAGCAGATATACGGGTATTTTACAGACCCTAAACGTAAATTTAACACATGACATATGGGCTAAGCTTAAAATGTTAGACACGGTTTTGTGTGTGTGTGTGTGTGTGTGTGTGTGTGTGTGTGTGTGTGTGTGTGTGTGTGTGTGTGTGTGTGTGTGTGTGTGTGTGTGTGTGTGTGTGTGTGTGTGTGTGTGTGTGTGTGTGTGTGTGTGGCGACAGACGGACGCGTGTGACGCACGCGGCGCGAAAGGAATTTTTTCATGAACGAAACTGCAGCTCGCAGGTGTTCACTATACCGGCGTCGTTCGTACCTGACCTTGATGAATGGGAACCCCGAGAACTCCGACCCCTCGCCAGTTGCTCCCGAAGTTGGCCGTTGCTGAACTGCTGTGATTCCTGGAAGCGAAGAGGCCATTAGTGTAGTTTAGCTAGCGATCATAGCAACGTGTTAGAGATTTCAGTGATGCCGCATACCGTACAAGACTGCCGCTCTGCGCGGTGACGTTGTGTGCGCGAAGCCCCTTACGCCATGGATCGTATGTCCCGTGTCGTCGTAGTAGACAGACATACGGGCAGACAGACATACGGGCGGACAGACAGACAGACAGACAGACATACGGGCAGACAGACAGACAGACAGACATACGGGCAGACAGACAGACAGACAGACAGACAGACAGACAGACATACGGGCAGACAGACAGACAGACAGACAGACAGACATACGGGCAGACAGACAGACAGACAGACATACGGGCAGACAGACAGACAGACAGACATACGGGCAGACAGACAGACAGACAGACATACGGGCAGACAGACAGACAGACATACGGGCAGACAGACATACGGGCAGACAGACATACGGGCAGACAGACATACGGGCAGACAGACATACGGGCAGACAGACAGACAGACAGACAGACATACGGGCAGACAGACAGACAGACATACGGGCAGACAGACAGACATACGGGCAGACAGACGGGCAGACAGACAGACATACGGGCAGACAGACAGACATACGGGCAGACAGACATACGGGCAGACATACGGGCAGACATACGGGCAGACATACGGGCAGACATACGGGCAGACATACGGGCAGACATACGGGCAGACATACGGGCAGACAGACATACGGGCAGACAGACGGACAGACAGACATACGGGCAGACATACGGCAGACATACGGGCAGACATACGGCAGACATACGGGCAGACATACGGGCAGACTACGGGCAGACAGACAGACAGACAGACTACGGGCAGACAGACAGACAGCAGACATACGGGCAGACATACGGGCAGACATACGGGCAGACAGACAGACATACGGCAGACATACGGCAGACAGACATACGGCAGACATACGGGCAGACAGACAGACAGACAGACAGACAGACAGACTACGGGCAGACAGACAGACGACAGACAGACAGACAACAGACAGACAGACAGACAGACAGACAGACAGACGACAGACAGACAGACACAGACAGACAGACATACAGACAGACAGACACAGACAGACAGACAGACAGACAGACAGACAGACAGACAGACAACAGACAGACAGACAACAGACAGACAGACAGACAACAGACAGACAGACAGACGACAGACAGACAGACAGACAGACAGCAGACAGACAGACATACGGGCAGACATACGGCAGACATACGGCAGACATACGGGCAGACAGACATACGGGCAGACATAGGGCAGACATACGGGCAGACAGACATACGGGCAGACAGACAGACATACGGGCAGACAGACAGACAGACATACGGGCAGACAGACAGACAGACAGACGACAGGACAGACAGACAGACAGACAGACAGACAGACAGACAGACAGACAGACAGACAGGACAGACAGACAGACAGACAGACAGACAGACAGGACAGACAGACAGACAGACAGACAGACAGGACAGACAGACAGACAGACAGGACAGACAGACAGACAGACAGACAGACAGACAGACAGACAGACAGACAGACAGAACAGACAGACAGACAGACAGACAGGACAGACAGACAGACAGACAGATAGATAGATAGATAGATAGATAGATAGATAGATAGATAGATAGATAGCTAGATAGATAGATAGCTAGATAGATAGATAGATAGATAGATAGATAGATAGATAGATAGATAGATAGATAGATAGATAGATAGATAGATAGATAGATAGATAGATAGATAGATAGATAGATAGATAGATAGATAGATAGATAGATAGATAGATAGATAGATAGATAGATAGATAGATAGATAGATAGATAGATAGCTAGATAGATAGATAGATAGATAGATAGATAGACATGACGGGTTTAACGTCTCAAAACCACCGTACGATTATGAGAGACGCCGTAGTGGAGGGCTCCGGAAATTTCGACCCCCAAGGGTTCTTTAACGTGCGCCGAACTCTGAGCACACGGGCGTATACAGATTTCCACCTTCGTGGAAAATGCAGCCGCCGCAGCCGCGATTTGATCCCGCGACCTGTGTCGTCGTAGTCGTCGTAGTAGTAGTAGCCAGTTGCATTGCATGTCAATAAAAACGGTATCACAGCATGTCCACGCAATGAATGAGGAGGAGTTGGGCGAAGCGTTCGTCAGTCCGCCCGTGATTTATTCATCCATTCGTGCGTCCATTCGTCACTCCATCCATCCATCCATCCATCCATCCTTCCATCCTTCCATTTTTCCATTTTCCATCCTTCCATCCATCCGTCCGTCCGTCCGTCCGTCCATCCATCCATCCATCCGCTTCACCCCCTTCGTCATCATTAACCCCGTGGACAACATATGTTATCATCTTTTTCTGTTTTCTTACTCTTCTTTCTTCTTTCTTACTCTTTCTTACTTTCTACAACTGACTAGCTCGTATAAATACCTGGGAATACATATCTCAAGTGATCTATCATGGACCCTCCACATCAATCACGTCATTTCAACAGCTCGTAGATCTTTAGGTTATATCCAAAGAACCCTGAAGTTTGCTCCCAGCCACTTAAAAAAATTAGCTTTCACCACAATAATACGCCCCAAACTGGAGTACGCCGCAGCAATTTGGGACCCACACCAGCATTATCTCATCCAAAACCTAGCAGCCATCCAAAACCGCGCTGCCAGATTCGCCTTTTCCCATTACTCATCGTTCACCAGTGTAACAGACTTAAAGAAACGCGCCGCATTCATTCCCCTTAGTCAACGCCGAAAAACTGCGCGGCTCGCATTATTTTACAAATTCTATCACGCATCCCCATCCAGCATTTACGTCACCCAACGCCCCCATTTCTCTGATCGTTGTTGCAACACTATGCAAGTACATTACCCTCGTCCTAAAACTACCACATTTGCAGAATCTTTCTTCATTCGGACAGCTAAGGAATGGAACGCCCTACCGGAAACCATTGTTAGCATTCAGGATGCAGAAGCCTCTAAAAATTCCCTGAAAACCATCACTGAACTGTAATAGCTAACTGAACTGTGACCTGCCATGCTATTTCTTGTATAATGGTTTCTAGTGTCATCTCCCTAGTATGGCATGTATGTATATTTTGTGTACTTGGCAATGTTTCGAAACCTTTTAAGTGATACCTTTTGTCACTGAAAAATGTTTTCATCCAGAGTCCTCAAACAAATGTACCTGTTACCGCCCCCCCCCCCTCTTCTTGTATGCCCACCCCTCATGTAATGTCCCTTCTGCTAGGGACCCTTGAGGAAAATAAATAAATAAATAAATCTTCTTTCAATTTTCCCATTCCTTCCCACTGTGCAGGGTAGCCCACCGCGGTTAAGCCAAACTAGTTAACCTCCCTGCCTTTATTCTCTCCCATTTTCTTACTTTGTTAATGGGACACCAAAGAGAAACAATGACTTGGTTTAAATGGACAAACTGCACTCTTATGCCATATGTGACGCTATCGCGAATTCATTACTATAGCGGAGATAATCAAGGTGGACTTTCGTTTTTTAATTATTAGTTCGCACCGAAATCACCACGCGTGACGTAAAGTTTTCAGAACGTGTTTTTTTTTCTGGCGTATTTTCGCGACATTGGTTTAATGAATTTTCCTGAAACTTCGTATGCTATGTATATGCCACCAACATGTACTAGATTAGAGTTAAGCTACGTAGGGCCCAGTGGATGTCTTCCAAATCTATGACGCCACGGCATTTGTTGTGAGAACCTCAAGATGGCGTCTCCACCCGCGTTTTCCTTTCGCGCATTCTCTCCGTTCCAAAGCGTCACCTCGCGGTAAGAGTAGTATTTTCGGGACTGTCAAACTTTGCTCTACTAATACGCGAAAAATCTACATGGTTTTTCGTATTCTTTCAAATATACTTCGGTGCAGGCGTCGTAGGTTTGAAAGTTGCTCATATGTGAAGACCGCGAAAAATTATCAACCACGAAAGGGGCCCTGCAACACTCTTTGAGCATGGTCAGAAAACGCTGCCGATTGGTAGTATAGAGGCCCCGCGACAACACGAGAGCGAAATATTATAGCGCAACAAGCGGCCTGGAATTCACAATACATTATCAAGGTTAGCTAAAATTGCTTTCTCTTCTCTTGACTAAACACGGAATAAGCGCCAAAATCACTCATAGTAAGCCCATCTATAAGCCATTGGCTGATTTGAACGTGGAGCATTCGCTTGTAACAGAAATTACCGTGGGATGCCGCAACTTATCCACGCATGATCACAGTAAGAAAGCCACACGTTCGAAGAAAAAAAGAAAAAAAAGGAAAAAGCGCTCAAGGTCACGAGTCATGTGTGAGGTTTATTTTTGCACCTGCCATCCCTCCCTGCTTAGCTTCCAGCGCTTTGCTCGGGACGAGAGAAGAGATAATGCAATTGCAGCATGCGACGAATCTTTGTAACTCCCCTCGCACTGGATGGATTTTAAAATTTTTTGCGCCGTTTATTTCGTGAGGCAATAAGGTATTCCGAAAAAACTCATTCCATGATTGCTTAAAAAAGTGTTTCGGGAACCCTAAAAAAGTGTCTCGGGACACAACAACTGCTGCTTTTATCCTTAGGCATGCCGTAGGAGATTGACACCAAGTGAGCCCTCTAGGCCGTCTCGAACATACAGAAGTGTATTGAATTGCGATCTCGTATTGGAGTGCATGCTACTATATCTACTTCGACATTATACAATCAGCATTATATCGGCAGACGTTTTCACTCAAGTATATCCACACATATCTCAACGCACTAGCGTTCATATTTATCGATTACACATGAATATTCATTGATTAGAAGTGTGAGAGCGGGGAGGGGTTAGGGGGGTTGCCATGACTATGCCCTACAAACTCTTTCATGAGAGGCTCTTGATAAACGTATCTGGAAGTATCTCGTGCGAGCAGCTTATTACACACACACGCACACGCGCACACGCACGCACACGCACACAAATGTTCTTGCTAGATTGCAACAACTGCTAACTCGTATTTGAAGGTATACGATGAAAATGCGTACCGTGTGGCCCCCATTACGCGAGATATTGGCGTTAAAGAGCACTGAGACCGCGATCGGGAGAGCTATTTTTACGCTAACGGACTAACCAGTGGGTTAACTCCAACTCAGGTCAAGAGCCCGAGTCGGAGCGAGTATAGGCTGAGCAATATGTTGCAGCGCTTGAGTCCGATCGAGTGAGCCCCACGAGCAGAATAACATTCTCAATTGAATGAGTCTGAGTGACGTCTCTCTCTCTCTTTTTTTTTTTTTGCTGACCTATATGCTGTACGAACACGCGGAATGAGAGATGGTTGTCCCGTAATGGTACAGACTCGGGAACGCACCATGTCCATCGTTAAAGAGAACACTCAAATGAGCCCCATTCATATTACTGGTCTCTTTAATGCAACTGTATACCTAGAAACATAGATGGCGCATCACACTGCAGTCTGTAAAATATCATAGCATATCCATGGAGTAAATTATGATGAGTGGGACGAAGCGGCCTTCAGCCTGTCCATCCATTCGTTCTTGCTTCCGTTCATCCATCCGTACACCTGTCCGCGCATCCATCTATCCACCCGTCCGTCCGTCCGTAGATATGGACGTTCATCCGTCTGTCCTTACGCGCGTTCGTCCACCCGTCCGTCCGTCTGCTAGTCTGTCTGGCCGTACGTCCGTCCGTCTGCTAGTCTGTGCGTCCATCTACTGAACACTGTAAGTACCGCAAGCTCGCATCCCCTGTGGCACATAGCCACTCTAGAGCGGGTATGTGCCAAACGTGTCACGCCGACGGACAGGGGACATTGCTTGACCCTAATGAGCTTCGCCCCTAAAAGGTGTCCGAGCCGTCAACCGCCTGCCGTCTTACAAGACTTTCAGCCAGCGCGCTTTTAAAAGGGGGAGAAATCCGGACATTAACTAACCGGGCATACAATCCGCCTCGGCGGATCTTTGGCTATAGGGTGCCCGGCTGCTGGCCTGAAGGTCGCGGGTTCGAGCCCGGTGGTCGCATTTCGACGGAGTCGAAACGGCAGAGGTCCGTGTAATGTGCAATATCAGTGCACGTTAAAGTACACCAGATGGTCAAAATTTCCGGCACCCTCCACTACGGCGTCTCATAATCACATAGTTTTGAGACGTAAAAGCCTACATACTATCATATAAAAAAAAACGCCAGGCCTGCGCCGAAAGCACAGTCACAGCGAAAGCTAGAAGAGCGGCCTTTCAGAGCCTTTTCAAAACACTCATTGGGTAACCACTGCAAGCGCACTTGCTTGATACCCACTAGGGCATTAATAATAAACTTTTGGGTAGTAGGCCGGCCTTCGCTGTGCTATTTTTCGTCATTCTTCCGAAAAGTGTGGCATTCGCTAGGCACTTGCAAGGAATTTCGTGCCGATTGTCCATGCAGTGGCTGACGACGGCGAGGAATTATGGCTGAAGTGGGTATGCGCCACAGTTAATAGGGGAACAAGAGCAAGCTTTTCTAATGGGTTGGAGCATTGGACGGCCCACTCGTTGCGCTATTCGCATTGTGTGATGACATGGTTGTTCTTTCGCTGTTTTAAAACGCTTCATAAGTCGTATTAACGGGATTGCTTTCCCGACATCAAGCCTGCCTAAGGCAAGTTTGCCAACAAGTCACACACAGCAGCGTAGCTCAGTGGTAGAATACTGGGCTGGCACCCAGCGGGTTTCAAGCCCCACTGTGTCTCTAAGCGCGATGTGGTTACGGACGCCGGCGGACAACTGTGCGTGACCCGAGTTGTGATTTCGTAACAGCTTTCGCTGTAATATTGCCCAAACATACGTTGAAGCTGTCCATGGGGTCACCCTATATGGGCGGCACTTCTGCGGATCTTTAAACAGAGTTCTTCATATCATACCGTATACCGGACATACAGCTGAAAAGGGCGAAGTCCGGACATACAGTCGAATCAGCAGTGTACACCACAGGATGAGCTTTCTTTAGATATTAACTTTTCGTTCCAAAAAGATAAGTGAGCCTGGATCCAAGTAATGCTTACCATCCATTACTCAGCGGCCTTCCATGGAGGCAAGCCGGGTTGGCGACAAGCAGCAACGGGAGCAGCAGTTTTCGGAGGGACAGTAGAAATACACTGTTGCGTACCATGGTGCAGAATACTCTTTCCCTCGCTACTCTGCTAACATCGCAGTCAAAGTTTGTGCAGCTTCGACGACCGCCGAATACGTCGCGCACGGTACTTTATACACCACAACCGCGGTGACCGTCACCTCCCCTCAACTCGGATTGATTGATTTATATGTGGGGTTTAACGTACCAAAACCACATGTGAACTCGAGGCGCCCTAAAGCAGTCAGCATGCCCCCGCCTCTATTTTTTTTTATTACTGTCGGAGAGCAGGCGTGCAGGTGCACACACTATTACGCACCTGTTATCAACCAGTGCTCCTCTGCATTGAGAGCCAACATCTGTTCGCAATGAATGAAAATCGTTAATGAGGGCGACACCCATCTGCAACCGACCCAGCCGATAAGTGCAATTGACAGGCTCGAATAAATGGACTGTACAAATGACCAAAAAGAAAAAAAGATGTGAACCACGTCCCCGAAGGAACCCTTTTTCTTTCTCAGTGCAGCGTAGCATACCAGATATTTGTTCTCCGGTTAACATCCCTGCCTTTCCGCATGCCATTTGTTTCTCTCTCTCTCTCTACGCGGCCGCGCAACTGGCGAATCAATCGTCTCGCTTCATACAAACATGTTCCCGTTTTATCAATTATATGAACACTCCCAAGTCATTGTCGCCGTCGCAGCCACCGTCATGTTCCGTATAAAGTCCAAATTGATAACATTTAGATGTACATCGTGTTTTTTTTTTTCGTGCTTTCCCGCCTCCACCGAAACACGGTGTTAAGCCGCGGTGGTAAGCCTCATGGAGTCATTCGCAAACACGCACAGGAATGAACAAAAAAAGACAAAATTTCGGAGCCCTTCCCCTATTAGGAAAACCATGTTGCGCATTGCTCCCTCCAAACTTTTTTGCTTCTTCCATGCAGGGCTGGCGCTAGCGAGGGGTACAGGGGGGGGGGGGGGGGCTTCACAATCACAATTTCACAATCCCGAAAGCACCTCTCCTGTACCACGCCATAACAACGCCTGGAAAGCGAGAAAATGCGTGACAAGAAAATACGGGTGGACACGCCACATTGAGATTCCCGCACCAAACATCGTGACGTCATACTACAAACACCGTGACGTCATACATTTTGAAGGCGCCTACTGGCTCCTACGTAGCTCCTAATCGATTAACATAATATACACAGTCATCTGCGTGCGCCACAGACCTATAGCACAAGTAGTTTCACAAACTTTCGTCGGGCCAAGGCCCCGAAAATAAAAAAAAACATACATTTTAAAATGTTTGACGTCACACACATAAAGATTTTCGGCGCGAAATTTTAAAATGTAACTTCAACCTCGATTTTTCTTTGATTATAGTGAACTTACAATGGTTAAACATACGGCATTGGTGTTTTCAGAGTTTAGTTCGTCAATCTGAACCCGATTACTGTTTCTCTTTAGCGTCTCTTTAAAAATACGGGAGAATGCAGAGGCCATCAAAAGATAAGCAATCGCTGAACGGGGAATGTCGCTGAAGCTACTGAATGGTCTCGTCAGGCTCGTCGAGCTTGTCGGCTCAGGCGGTATTCTGTAGTGAACGGTTTCAAGGCGAAAGCTTTTAATGTCTACACTACTCGCAGAGCCCGTCTGGGCCCCCGGCACGGCTTTAGCACGGCGCCAGCTGTGGCGTCTCCCCGTCAAGCGGCAGGATAAATGAGACCTACGAGCGCCAGAACGCGGATGACGTCCACGCGATGCGCTAAGCGCGAGAATATGCGAACGCAGGCGAAACGGAGGCAAATCAGCTTCGCGGCTCGCTGTGATGCACCTAAAATTTCGAAACACACACGCATTCCCTTTGTGTGTCATTCCATTGCGAGTGCCAAAAAAAGAAAAAGGCTTGGCAATGTCAGTCGAATGACCAAAGGCTTTCGCTGAACACACTCTGGAATTTTCAAATTAAGTGCCCTTCAATTTTTTTAATCACGATTTAGCTAAGCCATCCAGGTGTTATACTCTTCACTCGTTACACCGACGCAGCTGCAACGCATACAGGTGTCACAATACAGCTTATTAAACAGCCCCACCGCGGTGGTCTAGTGGCTAAGGTACTCGGCTGCTGACCCGCTAGTCGCGGGATCGAATTTCGTCTGCGGCGGCTGCGTTTCCGATGGAGGCGGAAATGTTCTGGGCCCATGTGCTCGGAGTTGGGCGCACGTTAAAGAAACCCACGTGGTCGAAATTTCCGGAGCCCTCGACTAACTGCGTCTCTCATAATCGCGTGGTGGTTTTGGGACGTTACACCCCACAAATCAATCAAGCATAGCTGAAAATCAATAACAGAACACGAAGGAAATAACAGAAGCGTTGCGTCCTTCGTGCCCTGTTTATCATTTTGCAGCTTGTGTCACGGAGAGATGGCCGTGAGACATCCTGCAGTGTAGACGCTGAATTCCTTCACCTCTTGTTTTCTGTCTATTTGCTATTGAAGCTATGGTCTGCGTAACCTAGCGCTCTTCTGAATTACGATAATACATAAACCAACCCAAATGCTTGTTCGTACCAAAGTTCCGCTGTGTATTTTGTTATTTATAAGCGTTGCGCACTACAGAACGGCTCGTATGGGTTTCCAACTCATAAGGCCAAGGTCGCAGCATCCTTCACAAGATATACAAGGCCTATATGGTCTGGATGAAAGCAACCAGATTCAGTTAAACAATGTTTATATACGAATGATATACGCTGCAGCACACCCGCGAACAATCTGGGGTGATGCATTCCCCGTCCTTTTATTTTAAATTCCAAGATTTACACCCACGTGTGACGTAGAAATGAGTCCTGTGTCTGTCTGTCTGTCTGTCTGTCTGTCTGTCTGTCTGTCCGCCCGTCTGTTCGTCTGTCCGTCCGTCCGTCCATCCATCCGTCCGTCCGTCCGTCTAAAAGCCGAGAAAATAACTTGGTCTTGTAGGCACCGTCGGCGTCGCCATGCTGTGGCCACGTTCTATGTAACTTACGAGGGGTCGCACATACGCGTAGTGGCATTCGGTTGTACCAAAAAAATTCACACCACATTCCCCAAAAGAGCCCTGATGGGATGCGAAACAGCAGCGTTGCGCACGGGTGGCTTCACAGGTTGAACGGCGCTAACGCGGGTGCTGCGGTGAGCGCTGGAAGATTCATTCGAAGCGATGGCTGGCGTAGGTCTCGTGACACGTACAGACGGCACGTTTCAACGCGGACGTTAGGCGCGCGCGTCAGGTTTATAGCACGTGAACCGATGAGTCGGCGGTGTATACCGAGCGGCGGTCGCGGTAGGCGTTGTTGGCGCACGAATGAGGCTGCAGCTGCAGACGCTGCGGCGAGCGTGTGGCGGGGGAGGGAGAGAGTTACGTCAGCGCACACTGCGAGGGGAGCGTGACGTCAACGCGCAGGCACTGCGCCGTGCTCCCGACCGGGTTGCAGACATTAGGTGTCTTTTCTCATCCTCTAACCACTACCACCACCCAACGCGCAGCTAAGGCATGACCTACCTGACACTGCTCCAACACCTGCTCCAACACCAATGTTAGAATATCCGACGAAAAAAGAACGTTCTATTCCTTTTGCCTTAAAACGAGCGACACAACCATACCTCCGTACACGGTTATACCAACTACGTGAAAACGTGCATGGAAGAAGGGCTTGACATCGCAAAACGAAGCAAACTTGATTGCACACGAAAATCCTGCCTGCGCGGGAAAGTGGTGACGGAGGGCGGGGCCCGTATTTATTATTAAGTTGTAACCGTGGCTACAACATATCTGGCCATATCTATCTGGTGTTGCCTTTTAAATCACGTCACACCGTATTTCCATGTCGGGTTATTACGCACACCTGTGAAAATTCTCCTTCATCGACCACCTTCGTTGCTTTTTTTTTTCACGAATATTATACACTTCATTCGCAGCGGCTGTTGACTAATACTTTCATCCGGTTTGAATCCCAGCCAATATGAAAGGCCAATCTGGCTAGACGAATACCGGGGCATGTATGCCGTTGCGATAAGCAGTTTCCGGACTTTTGTTTTCAGCCGCCACGTGTGCATGCTTCATCCTGTTTTGAGCACAAGTTCGTGCTCCGATGCTCCTTATCCCTCAGTACAACCAAGCTCAAGCTTAATCAGCAGAAGCACCGTGTCCCTTGTGTTATGCAACTTTTTTTTTTCATTTCAACTTTTTGCTATTTTTAGCCACATTTGCAGGTACCGGCATAGTACTTCATTGCTTTGTTGTTTTTATCCTAGGAATGCAGTTCATTAGCCATGTATAATATCTAACTTATTTTTTCCCCTGGTGAGTGTAGGTTGTCTTTTTGCAATGCAAATTACACTGTATATCCTCGACATTTTTTCTCCTCTTTTCCTATTTTGTGTAGGGGATATTGAGAAAAATTTACCAAGGTAAACTTAAACCGCTCGTTTTCACCTCATTTGTATGCTATAAAGCATCTCACAGAGTAGTCCCGATATCATGGGTAGACGCATGGTATTAGAGAGTTTTAGCGAACTTTCGAAAACCTCAAGCGTTTGCTGCTTAGAAAGGCATGTGAAACTACTTCACCACCGCCATTGTCATCATCATCAGCCTGCCTTCACCTCCCTGTTGGGCAATAATGTCCCCCTTCTCCCCCATGCAAAGGGCGTAGTCAGGATAATAATGATGATGATGGTGAACACGATAAAGAAAAAGTTGGCGGTGGATGTTCCAGTTCACCCCATGCGCATACATTTTGTGGAGACTTCATTCTCTCTGATTGGCGCAAGTAAAGTTATTTCCCTCTTTCTCTCTTCCGCGCACTGCTTGGCTTCGATTGTGCAGCGTGAGTCGTGCGCCCCGAACAGAATAACTACAATATAAGTTACTGAAAACCTTAGCGTTTCCCAACGAACTGCGATTTGTCACGCTAGTAAAAGTTAGCCAGCCGGCGGGACGTGAATACAGCTGGCTTGCTAGAAGTACGCTGTGCAATATAAGAAAAAGTTAGACGAGTTTGTGTGCATTTTCTTTTTACTCGGTCGTAGCGCACACGATCGTACCGCAGACAATCTTAAAGCGAAAGCCTTCTCGCCGAATTCGAGGGTAT